TGTTTTACAATTGAGGCTCCACAATGTGGTCCATCGCCAGCAAGAATATTGATTACACCCTGTAAAACAAATTGATTACTTATTTTTTGAAAAAAAAAATCCAAAAAGAAAATACTAACAGGAGGAAAACCAGCTTCTTGAATCAATTTTGCTGTATAAAGACCAGTTAAAGGTGTATGTTCATCAAGTTTAATAACTGTTGTACAACCAGTTACTACAGATGGTCCAATTTTCCAGCAGAGTAAAATCATTGGAAAGTTCCACTAAAAATGATATTAAGAAAATTAATATTGATTTTAAAAAAAGCCTTTGTATCTACTGGAATGATTTGACCAACAATACCAACAGGTTCACGTCGTGTATATGAAAAAAAATCACCACCAATTGGTAAAACTTTTCCATTCATTTTATCTGGCCATCCAGCATAATATCTATATAAATAAAAAAGTAAAATATACGAAAACAAAAGTAATATTTATTTTCATACCGAAGAACAGCAATACAATGTGGTATATCAATATTATATGCGTCTTTGAATGGTTTACCATTATTATATGTTTCTAAAGCAGCAAGATAAGCTCGATCACGTTCAATAAGATCAGCAAGTTTGTAAAGTAGAGCACCACGAGCTGCAGGGTCCTAAATAAAAACTTGCTCGTTATTGATAATAGAAAAAAAAATGTCCCACTGACCATACGACGCCATTCTGAACCAAGTCGAAAAGCATCTTTAGCAGCTTTTATTGCTTTATCAACATCTTTCTATTGAAACAATAATAAAATTGAATTTAATAAAGTATACAAAAAAAAAAGATTTCAAGAAATTCATACTTCTGAACCATCTGCAACTTCAGCAATAATATCACCAGTAGCTGGATTGATAACTTCAAATGTACTTCCAGTTGTTGAATCAAGAAATTCATTATTAATAAAAAGCTAGAAAAAAAATGAAAAGTAGATATAAAAATTTGGAATATTTATTTATTTTTAGAAATGAACGAACTTTATGATATTTCACATCAGGTCTTCGTTCGACAACAGGTTTTTGTTGTGCAGATGCTGATGAAGCACGTGTTGTTAAACGAAATCCTTGATTAAGTACTTGTCGACATAAAAGCTTAGAGAACATATTTGACGAATCTTCTTGTTTTTCTTAATAAGTTCGCTTTTATTTTGGACCGTCTCTATTGCGTGTGTCTTTTCTTAATATAGTAGATCGATAGAAAAGAAAATACAATACCCTGCATTGCCCTCCTTTTTTTTCTTCGCCGCTTATCAAGCGCCATGAATCTTTTCTGTTCTTTTGCATATTTACCTTCTCTCTACACGTGCGCTTCTAGATTATTTTTCTCAATGTCATCGGCCCTTCGCCAAATAATGTACTGTATGATATATATTTCTTGTGCACTCAGACGTATACAAAAAACAAAATTTTTCTATAGCTGATTAGTTTTATATGTTATTTAAAAGCAAAAAAAGAATAAATGAAACATTCCCGTATATAAATGAAACAAAAAAGAAGAAAAAAAAAATTATCGATATATTTTATCCCATAATTCATTTATTCTCTTGAACAAATAATTGTTTTTTTACTGTTTAAGTAAGTCGTAAGATAAGATGAATTTCACCATGTGAACCAAGACCAAGATGAGCAGGTAATTTAACCCATTCATCTAAATGTCCACCGGCCTGTTGAATCTTTTTCAAACTAATCTTAGCTGAACCAATTGAATCTTTACCAACTACATCCTCATCATATACTTTGACATGCAAATGATCTTGTCCTTTTAATAAATTACTATTCAATGGAATAAAAAAAACAAATTATAATGTCTTAGATTGAAAGATAAAAAAAATGTTTACTTACAAATTAAATGTTTCATTCCATGTTGGTGAATTTGTATCTTTAATAGTTGATGTTCGTTGTTTATAATCTTTATCTAAATATAATTCAATATAAGCATCATTTTGACCAAAAGTATCTTTGTCTTTGAGGTTTCGACCTTCGACAACCATAACTTGAAGAGTTCCGTGAGACATATTCTTTGAATTGTATAACTTAAATCGAATGATCGATGTTGGTAAAAAAAAACGAATTTGCTTGTAGGTAGAATTTTTATCTATACAATATTATGTTACGTATAAAATGAAAGAATAATGACTCTACTGTTCTGCTTTTATAATATCTTTGCTATCGTTAATTTAGAATGTAAAGAAAAAGAAAGATTTCTCTTTTTATCAAAAGGCACAGAAGAAAGAATTGCATATAAATAGAAAAAAAAAAGAAAAGAAAAGATGAATTAACATACCATCATTGTTGTTAATAGTCAAAACGAAATGAAAGAAAAGACCTCAACACAAAAGAAAAAGTTTGTATGATTCTTATATAACGTCAGTATTAGAGTTTCGAATGAACTAATCTCTATGTATCAAAGTTGATTTATGGGTTACTAAACTTTGACTCAGTCCACTCATGAATTTTTTCCTTCAAAAACAGCTCAGTCGATGGGCTGTCTATCTACAAAAAGTTCTTCTTAAAGATAGTTTTGTTTGTTGTTATGGCCAAATTTACTTTGTTTGCGGAAGAGGAGAACAAAACAAAGACATTTTGTTGAATAAGAACAATGTTTTTCAACGTAAATAGACAAAGAAATTCGTATTAACAATTTCCCGACAAAATGACTACATGTCAACATAAGACCAACAAGCTTCAGTGGACGAACTAAACTAGTAACAAGCTTATGTCAATCAAATTTGTCGATCTTGTGCCGTCATATGTACGTTTGATTTTGTTGATAAATTACTATTACTCGAATTTTGTCTTTTTTCGTTTGTTCTCTATTATGTATATTTATTCGCCCTATATTACATAATTGTTTGTATCAACGAAAGAATCAAATTGAGATTTATGAAAGAAAGTAATTTTACAGTAATACTATGCGATGCATTTAGAAACTTTTGTGTTTTATTCAAAATTTCGTTTCTAGTCTATATCGATCTATGGGCTAAAGCTCGTAACCTATGTAAAAAAAGGGCAGAAAAAATCTGACTTTCATTGATGTTTTTCTAATTAAAATTTTATTTAGATGATACAATTATAATCTGATTTTGAACAAATTAATTTTATTTTCAATCGCTTTTATACAATGATTGAATTTGAATCTATTTTAATCGATTATTGGAAAGTTTAATTGATTAAACTTTATTAATATATTAAAATTGATCGAAATTTAATGAAATATAACTATAAAATTGAAAAGCATATTTTAATCTACCTAAAACATAAATATAGTCGACTTTTATCTAATTTATCAACATTCTATTTTATTTAAATAAATGTAAATTTAAATACGTATCTTGGAGTGTAACTTATATGATAAGGGTTAGTCAAGTATTCTACTCACTGCTTGTTGAGATAATGCGTGCGACAAAAGAATTCAAAGTTTGAGTTTTGAAGTTAAAACGAGAGAAAAAGCGTATTTTGGTCTTTTTTACATGGGTAGCTCATGAGCGTCCATTGAAAAATCGGATCGGTCTAGCCCATTAGAAACTCTAATCAGTATAGAAGGTTTCAAGTATATCGAGATTTGAAAGCCATTTATTGACATACATATAAGTAAAAAATAGTTGAGATTAAAGTTTATGATTGTATGGACATTTTTGTTGTTTATTGATGTATTAGTTAGCTAGTTTTTTGGTAATTGTAAGTGATAATATAAGTATATAAATAAGTTTATGACCTGTAAAAATATAGAATTTATTAATGGTTCAATATCGATATAGATATATATAAATAAAAAGATTTGATGAATAAATTAATCTAAAGCAAATCTATGTTTATGGCATAATTGTTGTGAGATTGAACTATGTTTTGCATTCGATTTTATACTTGATGAAATCTTTTGAGACTGAATAGTAAAGAAGATATATGAATTTGATTTACGATTAGACTTCTATGTATAATTGATCATATAGATCGTCAAACACTATTTCAATGTCGATTTGAACTCTTTTAGATGTTTTTGTTTATTATGAATGCTTAAATCTGTTATAGCACAATCGGTTTTATTAACTTTGTCATTGAATGGAACAATATTTTGAATAAAAATACTGAATTATCTAATGAAGATCTTTATATAACCGAAGTTCAATTTGATCATCTAATTAGTATAACGATTTCAAAATAATTTGTTGCTTTTATTACTTATCGAATCGAATCGATCTTATTGACTTTTCATTTATTACATATCTTTATATAAATGATTTATTTATTAGGCACTTTTATATCTATTCTTATATTATCTATTTGAATATATTTTGATCTACCCAATGAAAATTTTTATTTGAATTAATTTCTTGATTTTGGATAATAATAATAAAATACATTTCCAAAATTTTCTCTTCATCATTAAAATAAAATCTATAAAAAACCAAATGAATTATTCTAAATGTCGAATATGAAAAACATATTGGCATTTTTTTTGAAGACTTCTAGCATTCATATATTGTACGATTGAGACGAAAAACTATAAAAAAAAACTGTTGTTAAACTATTAGCTTTAATTTTGATTGAACGAATAAAAAAAAAAAAAACAAGTTGCATAAATATTGTTTCCATGTCAACTTTAATATTTGTACGTAAGCGAGAAGTATGTGCTGATATGTTTGCGCATGCGTTTCGGTTCGATAATTTGCGAATTTCGAATCCTTCATAGAACTTCATCACTTCTTTTAATTTACACTTCATATTCTCCTGTGTATATCTACACTACGTATATACATACATACAATTACAAACAAACTTAACGCTTTCAAATTATTTTTCTTTTAACTCCATTCTACAATATATTTTATTAATTTCTCATTGTTATATTTATATCAAACAGAAAAACAACAAAAAAAAGTTATTATTATTATTATTTATCTATGATTTCTCAGACTATGATATTTATTCATTAAATATTATTTCGAAGTGGCGTCGACGAATTTACGATCAATAGTATGAACAATTCTCTTTCATTAACTAATGCAAAACACGATCCTAAAGGGTTAAAAAATCCTAAACTTACAACTCAAGGACAGCAATTTCCAACAAAATCAAAACTTTATTCATCAAATGGCACAAAAAATTATTCAACAAGTATCGATGCTCAACAGCCGCTTCTTCAATTAGGTTTTCGTATAAATGAAAAATTAATTGGTACTGGTTCTTATGCTAAAGTCAAGTAAGATTTCAAACAAGATAAGAAAATTTTGATCGAAACTAACTCTTGTTTCTTGTTGAATATAGGAGATGCATACGTGAAATTGATAATAAAGAATTTGCAGTGAAAATAATCGATCGTGATAAAGCTCCTACTGATTTTGTTACTAAATTCTTACCACGTGAACTTGATATTATTAGAATATTAGATCATCCAAATATTGTCAAAGTTAATTTTAAGAATAAATAAAATTATATAGTTATTTCTATTAAAAGGTACAACATATCCTTGAAACAAAATCTCTTACATTAATCGTCATGGAATATGCATCAAATGGAGACCTTCTTGATTATATAAATGTAAGCAAAAACCAAAAGTTTTCAGCTAAGATTTAGTTAAATTTGCTTCATACATTAAATTATTAATACTAAATAACCTGTAATGAAAAAGTCTTGACAAAAATGTCACACTGTAGTAGACTATAATGTCAGTTTCTCAACCAAAAAAACCTTTTCTCTGTTAGAAAGAGTTATGCTTGTAATACAAATTTTGTACTAGATTTATTTTTCCAGAACGAATCTAAGAAGAAGAAAAAGTCATAAATCAAGAACCTCTATAAAAAAAAGTTCTTACAACTTCACTATCACGTAACATCATTTTCTATGTTCTGTTAAATATTTAATATCAGAAGTGAAATGAAAAAAAAGTTTAATGATGACCATTTAGACTTATTCTTGATATTTGTACCAAAATATAGCTTCTTTTCTTAAAGAGACTGTATAATTTGGACCTTCTTACTATCCGACCATTTTGCCACAATAAGAAATATTTTTTGAATTGTTTTTTTTCTGCTAAGTTTCTATAATTTGACATATTTCAAATAAATAACGCACAACGAATTTTTAATTCATGTATAGTTTCTGGAGATTGTGGCCAATGTCCTTGCAAAAGACTTTATTTTACAAAAATATTAATTCTCAATTCTTTTTCACTAAAGAACCAAAAATAGATCTAAAAACTTTTACCAATGCCAATATTGATAGAGTTTTGATGCACTACAGTTGGATGCATTCTTTTTTGTTAGAATTTGGCCTATGCAGTAAAGCCCGTCAGATTACTCCCAGGTTCGTCTTCAAAAACTTTCGATTAGACAGGCTATGCCATGTAACTTAAAATAATTGAGAAAGTAGAAGCTTTCCAAGTTACAAGAACTTTTTAAAGTGTTTGATTTTTTGGTTTTTACTCTATCTTTGATTCGTTTTGGAAAATATTTTCGGTCCAGAACTTGTAGATCAGATATTACTTTTACCAACAAAAAATATTTGACTGGTGTGTAGACAATATAGTCTAACAAAGTTTGACATTTTTGCCAAGACATTTGCATCGCATGTTGTTCATTTTTTGTTGAGCATATATGAAAGATGATATCTTAGACGTTGTTTAGCTTCTAGAAAACAACCCGTCTACAAGAATCAGTTGCTCGACGTATGTTTCGTGAATTATGTGATGCTATTTATTATATTCGTAAGAAATTTTCTTAATATTGTTCTATCGAATATAGCAGTTTTAATTGTTTAAGATATTCGAAATATATGTCATCGAGATTTGAAGTAAATTATGTTGAATTATATAGAGTATATATGTTTTCTGCATTATTTTCAGATGTGAAAATCTTTTACTTGATAATCACTTACGAATTAGTAAGTTCAATGTTGATATAGAACAATGTTTATTCCATTCTTGTAATAGAATTAGCTGACTTTGGATTTTCTCGTTATTGTGGTTCGTTATAAAATAGAGAATAGCTTTTCTTGTTTTCTATTCATAATAAAATTTTATTTTAATTAGTTGATCCGCCGCCGACTGATAATAAAAAGAATACAATTGAAAAAAAGATTTTAAGTAGAACATTTTGTGGTTCAGCGGCATATGCTGCACCAGAGATTCTTCGTGGTCAAGAATAGTATGTTCTCAAATCATATAAAACAATAACTTTGTTTTTTATTCTACATCCTTGTATTACATCTAGTAATCCAAAACTTTATGATATTTGGTCAGCAGGATGTATCCTATACATAATGGTATAACATCTTGTTTGTCGATTAGCTATATGATATTCCTCTCTTTAATCGTAAACCGTTTGTTTTTGTAGATTTATTCAAAAATGCCTTTCGATGATTCTGATATTAAAAAAATGATCGAAGCACAAATGACAAAAGGTGGTCTTCGTTTAGGTAGTGAAGGTTCATCTGAAGTACAAGATCTTATTGTACGTATGCTTCAACCTGAAGTAACACAACGATGGCCTATTGAACTCGTACAAAGACATCCATGGTTTACTAGACAAATAAATGCTGACAATCAAGGATCATCAATGTCTTATGTAAATACAACGACAACAAATCGAGGACAAGTTCAAGGCGGTGTCCATCAAATACCAAAACGACAAGGATCACCTGTTTATGCATGATCATTAAGCAATAAATTAGTTCGCAGAGAATTGAACACTTATTGATGATGAGATTTTCCATGCAAACGAACTTATTCATAATACAATGAGATATAGATGAACTGTACTATATATGATCAGATATTTTCGAGCAAAAGATAAAAAAAAAGTTTTTTTTTCCAATAATAATCCAATAACTTTATAATATAATTTTGTTTAACTATTTGTATTTATAATTATGGTTGCATATTACAATATGACGAAGGATATATAAAAAAAATATAGAGTAACATTTTTATTACTAAATTAATTTCTCATAAAACTGTCTGTAGTGCAATAAATAGATGAATACGGAATACCAAACATGGTCCATTTTGTACCGAATTGTAAGAATGATGTACTTTGAACAAGGACAAATTAATATCGAACAAATATTAAAAATTGGAAAACTATTTATTTGTATAGGATAATCCAATATATGAAATAATCTAGAGATGATAATAATGACAATGATTTTTATACTTATTTCTATACAGTATCTTAATTAATTTTTATCATACAAGTGATAAAATTGTAAAAGTATCTATTAATTAATTATAGACGTGAAATTAGTATTTTGACGATAAGAAATACTGTATGATAGAGAAGGTTAACTTCAAATTTATTTCCTTTTCCGAAGCTATTAAATAAATCATCTTTCGTATAACGATGTAGGCGGTAGTGTAAATCAAGTATGATCAAATCTCAAATCCATTTTGACTAGATTTAATTCACATCTAAAAACAATCAATCACACCTCTCATGTCTATTTCAGTTCACTCTCATAGTCATAGTGTTTTCTTTTACAAAAATAAATGAATGTTATTCTAGCATCTTTGATAAAGCGGATTTAGTCTCAACCATAGAACATCAAAGAAAAACAAATTGATAATGATACTTGATAGAATTTCTTTTTTAAATATTCAAAATGATTGCAAGAGATTTTATTAACGAAATGAAATGGATCTCTATGGGATACACATGTTATTGTCCATGTTCTAATTCACATAGTTTTGATCATTTTATAATTGATTAAACACTCGAATATGTCAAGAGATGTTAGTCATTATTCTTATTTCCTTATTTTTAAGTATAGTCATTAATTGTTACATGAAAATTTCAACAAATGAAATCAACATTTCCTTTAGATCATATTGTTTAATCTCTACTTGCCATAAAATAATCTTACATAATATGAAATATTCAAATTTATACATCAACATATATATAAATACAAGCATATATATTGTGTGGAAATAATAGTTGAACTTTTCTTTCTTGTCTTCTTTTATCGTAGCTAATCATAGATGTTATTTTTTGATCACATCAAATTTGTCTGTTCGTTCTGTTGATCACCATCAGTTTTTTTTTTTGTCCAATTGTGTTCAAATTATCAAAGCTGATATAGGGCACACTCATTAAATAACTCATTCATTTGTTCATTCGTCTATATGATTACCCATGCTATTCCCTTCTTTTCTCTCTTTCACTTTCGTTTAAGTTCGTGCTCGTTACTTGACCCCACTCTCAAGGACACAAACAACAAAAGATAGCAATCGATGGTGTTGGTCAATCGCACTATATCCGATAGATGAGGAAGGAAGGAAGGAAGTACACTGGTCAAACAAACCAACCCGAACGAAAATATAGAGGCAACACCAAAGAGTGTTTGACCATTAGGAAGAGCATACCCACTTGGGTGACACATATGCACACAAAGAGCAATGATGAATGATATGTGGTTCGATTGTTGGACGAATACTGGCAACAATGGTAGGTTTTGGAAAATAGAAGGAAAAAAACATATCTATCGATCATATAATTTAATCTCAAGAAGAGAAAAGAAAAAGGTTATGTCTAGCATTGAGAACGGAAACGAATTATGTGTGAATACATATTACATCACCAGATGACCGCTGACTCTCACACACATATACATTCTAATTATTCGAGTGGAGGTCATTGATCGCATCGACTGAATGATTACTCAATCATGAATAAGAGAAAAAGAAGAATGCAAGCAAAAAATGATGTTGAACTTCTTCAAGGTCAGCAAACCGTTGAGGGAAATATATCTATATATATAGAAAAAAAAAGGAAAAAAGAAAAATTCGATTTCTTTTCCTTCTCTCTCTCTCTCTCTCTCATTCGTTTTCTCACTCGTGTTGCCATATCGCACTCTCTTATTTATCAAACAAAATAGGTTATCCACAACAACAGCAAACTATTTACGACGATTTCAATCTTCATCATCATCCAATGATTGAAACAGCTCATTCATATCATCATCCCTATAAACCTAAACAACGTTTCACGCATTATATTAAATCTCCTGATATACAAAATGTATGTAATGATATTGAAACAACATGTCGAAATATTACAAATGATCAACCAACACCAACAACAATTATACATCATCATCATTATTTATCACAATCAACATCAAATCTCCTTGAAACAACACATCAACATAATGGAAAAGAAGATTTTCGACCACCATCATCATCATCAACAACAACAACAAATATAGTTGTACCATCTACACAATTACATGAATTAACTCGATCAAAATCATCACCACCACCACCATCAACTTCTATTAAAACTGAACCAAATCTTGAACAAAAACAATTTTCAGAAAATTCTAACAATACAACAATTTCATTGATAAAAACAAATAGTGGAAAAATTCAAGGTTCAATAGCGGTTAATGTCCCATGTTTAGTATGTGGTGATGAAGCAAGTGGTTTTCATTATGGTGTTAATTCATGTGAAGGTTGCAAGGTAAATTATGTTTTGTTTCAAAAATTTCATTTTTTTAATTCCTAAAATTAGGGCTTTTTTCGTCGATGTATAACACAAGGAATGTCTCATCGTTGTAATAATACGGGTAATTGTGAAATAACACCATTTAGTCGAAATTCATGTCAATATTGTCGATTAAAAAAATGTTTTGATGTTGGAATGAGTCGTGAAGCGTCACGATTAGGTCGACGACCAAAACGACCACGTTCTGATACGAAAAATATTATAATTAAAGATGATCAAGAACAATCAACACAAGTATCAGCATTTGTTCGTTTACAAGAATTTCAACAAAAACAAAAACAAAAAATAAATGTAAATGAAAAATTTCTTAAACAACAAACACCACCAAATGAACGTGATAAACAATTATCACCAACAATTCGTATTGATTCTGTTAGTTCAACAACATCAATTATTATATCATCACCATATCATGCACCATCAGTTACTATTGAAACACCTAATTCTTCAACATCATTATCATTATTTCCTGAATGTCTTTTTCAACATCGTCAACCATTATCATCAACATTAACATCGGAGATTCATCGAGAAATTGTACGAAAAATATCATCAATGTTACTTTATCAAGAAAAATTATTATCTGATATTGAAGCAAAAGAAATGGATCATATAGCACAAGTTATTATTGGTGCACATTTACAATTTTGTGTATGTACATTTGAAAAAATACAAACTAAAATTGAAGAAAATCCACCAATATGGGCAGATTCTGTGGTATGATAAAGAGTTTGAGATTTTTCGAAATTAATAATTAAAATAAAATTTTGTTCTATTTATTTTTAGAGTGATGATCTTAATTGTGATCCAGCATTAGTATGGGCTAATTGGCAATTAAGTTTTCCATTTGAAAGTATTTTAAGAACATTTAAATATTATACATTTTTTCAACAGATTTCACAAGATGATCAAATATGTTTATTTCGACATGGTAAGTTTAATAGACTTAATTATCATGAAATGTACATAGAGAAGAGGCTAAAAAAGTTAGTAGGAAAATAAAACTGCAATAAACTTTCAACGAGTCACATGAGTTTCTCATCATTTCATAGAATATTCTCGAAAGTTTTATTTCATATGATTTCATTAATAACTATTGTTCTAAAGAATTTGGCATTAACATTATTGAAGGAATTCCCTTAAGTAACGTCCGTAGTTTGAGCTCATATTGGACATACAGGTAGATTTCAGTGAGAAGAGCAAAAGTCTAAAATGATTCGACCCTATTGAACTTTCTCACCAAGTTATGAGTGTTTTACAAAATTTTCGATTCATTTGTGAGTAGTTCCTTAAACATCAAATGTCAGAATTTCGATCTAATGACTTTTAGAATATTCTGAAAGTTTCAGCCGAAAAGAATGTTCCTTCCTCAAGATATTGAATATCCTAAAATAACCCTTTGTCACAAACATCGAGTTCTTTTTTGAAAATTCAAAAGCTGTACGATTGAACGTTCTTTTCGGCTAAAACTTTCAGGATATTTTAAGAGTCTCTAGAGCTACCTATAGAGAAAATAGTTGCATCAAAACTCTGTTATTTAGTCTTTCGGGGAGTACCTAAAAATGAGTAAAAAAATCCAGTAAACTGGTTATAACTCGGCGACAAAGACCAATAGGGACGAACATTTAGGCTTTTGCTAGTCTTACTGAGATAGTTGGGGTAGTTCTTTCGTTAATGTTGATACCAATCATTTGAAACAATAGTTATGCATGAAATCATATATATGTGAATCATTTGAAGACCGATTGTAATCTTATTGAAAAACTAGTTTTTGAAACATCATACATATATTGATTCTTTTTTCTTCTTTTTTTTTAAGGAGCATTTGAAACTATTCTTGTTAGTTGGTTTACATTATTTGATGCTGAACAAAAATTAATGCTTACACCAGATTTTTCAGCTTATATGGATAGAGATTTTATAAAAACAATAAAAACTTTAGGTGTTATTATGTTAGAAATATTTGATTTGGGAATGAAAGCAAGTCACCTTCGATGGACTGATAGTGACATTGCATTATTTAATGCACTTTTATTAATGAATCCAGGTTTAGATAAATCGAGTGTCTATTTTTTTTTCTTCATTAGTTTATTAATTGAGTATTGTATTTTATTTTAGAACGACCAGATCTATGCGATAAACAAACTGTTGGTCAAATCGAAGCAAAATTAATGCAAGTTTTATATAGACATTTACGATGTCATCATCCAAGTAAATTTATTTAGTTTTATCTTTTTTTATTTTTTATAATTGAATATTTATAGATGAACCAAATATGTTTCTTGATATTCTTCAATTAATACCATCAATTCAAGAAGTAAATCAAATTCATTTGAATGCTGTACAATATATTAAACGACATGAACCTCAAATTTTTAATTCTTTACCTGATGTTCATCGTGAAACTTACGAAGGTCTCTCGCCATAATTTGTTTATGTACAAATTTTAATATCTTCCACGATCATTCCACGACAAAAAAAAAAAAAAACTTTTTTTAACCGGTTTCATTTTAAAAGCAATGTCCATCTTTTTCTTTCTCTCCATTGTATCTCGGTGCAGTGCTCATATGAATTTATATTGAGAAAAATTTGTCAGAAAAACTAAAAAACAATCTCATTTGTAATATGTGAGCAACTTGCTCATTTGTTATTCGAGTTATTTTGTAATTATTTCTTTTTATCAATTATGTTTGTCAAGTTTTAAAGTAAAAAACAATAACAACAAGGAATATCCATACATATTAGCTTTTACTAAGAATACTGCCAAAAACTTTGCTATATAAAACTTCTTCCACTATAACAAGGAACGAGGTCCATAGTAATGATGAATATTCAACAAGATAATGATCATGGTCACCAAATCCAATTATGTGAAATCATATAAGATTTTCTTTAAACTAAAAATATTACATTCAATCTACATGATGGATCAAAAATAGTACTAGGATATAAATAATGAAATATCTCCGCGTCGGCTCAATGAGAAGAGCGAATTCTTTTGGTTAGTGACACAAGTTTATTTAAAGTTTCTATTACTGACCAATACAATCAACCCGTTCGAGCAAAATCGAAGTAGAAATATTACAATTTTTATCGTTGTACTATCCATGACTGATCGTGTAGATTCGGTTCTACCATTATGAGTTATTGTTTTTGTCGATAAATTCCCTTCTAAATAAGATTGTTTCAGTTATTATTGCTCGCTATAGGTCATTGAGCATATAAATATTATAAAATCTAATGGAATATCAGTGTCTTAGAAAGCATTGCCATGCAGATCCAAGAAATAGACAAGTAGCATTCAACATTTCAAATAATTCATGATATTTGCAACTTTAAGCAATTTATGTATTAATAGAGAAATGATGAATATTTTATATAGAATAGCATCAAACTATTGAGTATATTATATAAGACAATTTCTATGTAACTTGATCTTCTAGTCATCAACTAAAATAACTACATTTAAAACTGAACTTCAGTATGATCGAAATACGTGATATTATTTTCTAAATTTGTGCAATTTTTTATATAATGAATATCATTTGAATATTATATTTTCAGAAGAAATAGATGATTTAACAATAATAATGTTTTTCATTTTTCTATTATTCTCAAACATAACTATTATAATCTTTTGGAACATTTTCAAATAGATAAATAGGTGTGAATCATTGTTGTTATTAGCTTTTCTTTCATTTATTTTTAGCTATAAGATATGGAAAATGATAATATATTACAACATATTGTCTGGGAAAAAAAAAACTTCTTCATAGTCGCTAGCTAATGAACAAGTAGCGCTACATTACGATTGGATGAATTTTATTGTTGGTATTAAGAGAGGATAGACAAAAAATGAACACGTACCTGTTAGTTGATTGATTCTTTTCTACTAGACCCTCAACTTCCTCGTTAATATTAAACATCAATTTATATCTTAAATATATGTATACAGATTACAAATTTAGATTTGAAATGTTACTACGCAAAGTCATTATTTTTCTTTTGTAACCTGTATTAAAATAGAAATTAATATATTTTAATTTTATAAAGATCTTTTTTTTTATATTGTATAAGTCTTTAGATCTTTTTTTCACTTGTTGACATCAATTTTTGTTTGTTTTATTCAATAAAATCGAGAAACAATGAGTCAAGAACGAGATGAATCCGATGATCGAAGTAATAGTAAATCATCACGTCATCATGATTATTTAGTTAAACTTCATGGTATCTCATGTTCATCAAATAAAGATGATATTAAAAAATTTCTTTATCGTAAATTGAAAAAAATACAATTTTTATTTAACTGAAACTTTTATTTTATTTTTCTCTGTTAATAGCATGTCGTATTGTTGCTATTCATTTATTCGAAAATAATGGTACTTCATCAAGTGATTGTTTCGTTGATTTAGAATCCGAAGTTGATGTTAAAGATGCCTTAAAAAAATCAAGTCAATATTTAGATAAAAGATGTATTGAAGGTAAAATATAAACAAAATTTTAACTGAATATTTTTACTGTTCCCCTATTAAATAATAATTTTTTTGTTTAGTCTTTCGCGCAACTACTTATGAATTTAATTTTCATGTTAAACATAAAGGTATGGTCTCATGGCGTGAACCTGTTATTCGAATGAGTGGTCTTCCATTTGCTTGTACAATGGCTGATGTACAAAATTTTTTTGAAAGTATATATTTGTAACAAAAAAATTAAACAATGAAATTTTTATTTGAAATGTATTTAGATATTGAAATAGCAAAAAATGGTATTTATATAACACGAGATATGGCAGATAAAGCATTGGGTGATGGTTTTGTGGCTTTTGTCAATATGGATAATGCTTATAAAGCAATTGATATGCATGATCATAAACATATTCAGCACAGGTTTGGTTGGCACATGGTCTTTCGATAAAAAATGCAAAGGAATTAGTAGCACCAGCAGATTTAATTAATGGAGTATAAAATGAAATGAAAGAAAAAAAAAAACAGGGAGGGTTAGGTGTGAGAGGTGAGGTGTACTGATCAATGGTGTTGCCAGATTTATGACAGGTAGAAACAACAAAAGATCCGTATTTATTATAATATGTGTGCTTTCATGTGTTTTGAACTTCTTTATTTTTATATGTGTAAAAACATGTTTATTGATAGATTTCATGTTTAGTGTTAATGTGTGCACAAGAGATATTTAGCATCAGTTTTTTTTTATTTTCTTTTTCTACATAGGTACATTGAATTATTTCCATCGACATATGATGAAGGGAAAAGAAGAATTATGAATGATGCTCGATCAAATGCAAGACAATTTGTCGGTGAAGATGAAGATGATGATAATAAAAATAATAATAATAATAATAATAATAATAATAATAATATTAATACTAATAAACGAAATTATCGAAGTCGAAGTCACAGTCGGCAACGATCACGATCATTAAGTCAAGGTAATTATTTGTGTATTATGTCAGGTTGTTCGAAAATATTTTTCTTTTTGACTCTTGTTTTTTTTAATATAATCATGATAGATTGTCGTCAACGAGAAATAAAACGCCGTCATTCACCGTCCGTTTCTCCTCCGCCACGAACTTATCGTAAGAAAAAAAAATAAAAGATTTTATACTAAATGATAAGAAAAATTTCGTTTTCGTTTAGCTTCATCAAGAGGTATAAATCAACGTAAGTTGTAAAGTTTATGAATTTAGATCTCTTAATTGAACAAATCCGCATAAGATGATTTTAAAATTCTGTTTTTTTTTTGAATAGGATCATATACTAATTATCGTCGTCGTAGTCGTAGTAGAAGTGCAATACGACGTTCATCATCTCGAAATGAAGAACATCTTGTTAAAATACGTGGTATGCCTTATACTGTTGTTGAAGATGATATTCGAAAGGTATAATCTATTCTAAAATTTAAACAACGAAGAAAAACGAGTCTTTTATAGTTTTTTCCTGAGTCTTGTCAACCAAGTCGTATTGAAATTTTACAAGATCGACGTATGAAACGACCAAATGGAGATGCTCATCTTTATTATAATACGCTCGATGAAGTCAATGAAGCATTGAAATATGATCGAAAATATATGGGTAAAAAAAATTGTTTTTAAAAAAAAATATTAAATAAAAATAAAATATTTTTCTTATGCACAGGTAGTCGTTATGTTGAAATTTATTTCGATTCACCTCGTTATTCATCATTGAGTAATCGACGAAGAAAAACTGATGGTACCTCTCGTCGTTCATCTCGTTCTCCATCAAAACCAAAATATAATCGTTACAGTCGATCAAGAAGTATGTTTGTTTTTAACAATGTTTTATTCAATATGAGGGCGGCGTTTCTCCGAAGACTGGATTAACCGTTTCGGAAGAGAAAATCTAGATAAAACACTGTTTTGTTTTAATACAAAAAATTTTCTTTCTTTTTTCTTTTTATTATTTTTATTATGTTCTAGGTGACTCAATAAATTAGATTATATGACCAATAACTGTAAATAAAACATTTCAAGTCATCAATTGATTGGTATTATTGTTTTGTTATTTGCTCATCTGTGTTATTTTCCGACAATAAAAAGCTTTATTCAACGAACTTAGAATTTAGTCAAGTGTAACACATTAACATATTATAATCGATTCTAAGAGTATGCTTGTTTATTTTTTGGTTTTTTTGGTATTAGTTACTTGTTGAAAAGAATATGCATGTTTCTTTCTTTTCTGTGCTTATCAATTGAAAAAGAAATAAAAGGAGATATAGTCTATGACTAAGCCATACTGCATTTGTGTTTTTCTTTTCAGTATTTCATCATAGTAGAGCAATGTTATTATTATAAAAGTCTATGGTTCGAAATATTTTTTAAGATATTATAAATCTATTGTCGAAATAATTGAAACAAACGATGTCGACGAATTCTACAACAACCACTGAAACATTTGATGAACATTTGATTGGTGTGAGTGAAGAAAAAAAGAATATATTGATGAATAATTTTATTTTTTACTAACTATGTTTTTAGCCATTTGCTGTGGTACCAAAAACAGATTGTCCTCATTTAAGGAATCATACGTATACATTACCGCAATCAGCTCATCGTGTTCATGGTCGACAACCTGCTTGTACTGATTGCGGTGAAACACGAGAAAATTGGGCTTGTTTAGAAGAAAATTGCTCACAAGTGAGTATCATATAAATAAATAAAATCTCAAAACAAAATTTGTATTATCAGATTGGTTGTTCTCGTTATCAACAAAAACATATGTTGGCACATCATCAAAGCACTGGGCATAGTATATGTTTAAGCCTATCGGATCATTCATTCTATTGTTATGCTTGTGAATCATATATCGATAGTCCAAAATTAACTCAAGTTAATGAACAATTGATTGCTTCTCGACAGCAGTAAAGACACAATATTACAAAGATTAATTACTTTCGCTTTTGCTATTTATTCATGAACTATGATATTTCGATTTTTTTTTAAATTTTACAACCTAGAAACTTTCTAAATTCAGGGCTGTGGCGAATGAAAACAAAGTGAGCGTGGGAGATGTAAGAGAAATTTTCTGAATGCTGAAAAGATGCATATAGAACGCTTTTTAAAATAAGGAATGCAAATTACTTTTTTTTCCATCCTGCAATCTTTTATTTTTTGAATAAAAATAACGTTTTTTCAAGGCGGGAGTGTAGACTCTTGCATCCTCTACGTCATCAAACCTTTGTTTGGCTTCTATAAAAAAACTTTTTTTTTATACAGATACCATTCATTAAGTATACAATACTGAATTTTACTTCCTTTGACTTTCGATGATTAATATCATTCAGAAAAATAAATGATATGCTTCGTTCGGGAATCGAACCCACGATAATGTTTACTGGTTATCCGGACCAGTGCTCTAAACATTGAGCTATTGAAGCACGACTAACATATCATTTTTATTTTCTGAATGATATTAAATCATCGAAATTTGTAACGTCGACACGATGTGTACGACGCACCTGGATATAGCGAAGCTATTTCTAACCAAGTNCATAGGGAATATTTGATTTCTAAGGGAGTTGATGTCAAGACAAAAACTTCCAAAGGCTAACAAAACGAATCTATGTGAAAGGACATGAATTGTATATTTAGAACTCAGCTTCGAATTAAAGAAAGTATTAATTAAAAAAAAATAAACTCCACTCTTTTTATTTAGACTATTCAGCCATCACTAAAATGGTTCATATTATTTTACAAAATAAAACTTCTATATTTTTGTATTTACAAAAAAAGAATTACGACACAATCATCTTGGTTCTCAATGAAGAGTGGTGCATATCAATAAGGCACAAGATAAGATTATATGTAATCGTTTACAATATCGGTGGTTCTCAAGGAATTTCTGGCGTAATTCTCTAAGAACATTATCAAGGGAAATCCATAGGAATTCTTTTAAGGAGATTTGATCAGAGTAATGGATAAGAAAACGAAGAAAAGTGATGGAAATCAGACAACAAGACAAGTCATAATTGGTTGTTATTAAATTTTTTAAATGTCATAGATATATTCCAGAGGTAGACGGGCTGTCTTGAACTCTTGTTCACGCTTCGCATACCTCTTTGTATTCTTACACTGAAGATACGGTTCGGAAGTGCCAAATCGTTTCTTCGATGTTATTGCAACATATAGAATCACGAGATAGCACAACATACGTTCCATGAAGATTGACATCACGTTGCATAGATGTATGCTAGAGCGCGGAGCTGCGCAAGACAGCTACATTCATCGCTGTTGTATTCTATTCCTTTCTTTCACTGTCTTAGTTTCTTTCTCCAAATTCCAATTCATTCTGTACATCTACATAATGTATTACGATTCAAAGCTTGTTTTGAAATCATATATGCAAGAAAATAGAATAAAAACCAATACCAGAATCAATTAAATTGATAAGAAATTCAAAATTAATTGTCTTACATTGTATCCATATACGTTTGTTAATCTTTTATTATAAAGTGAAATAATAGTTATTATTGATTTAAGAGATAATGTTCAGTTAAACATTTGTATAGATCGATTTTTTTTATAAGAATATTCTCGAATTTATTCATTCATAGTAATGCTATTTTAGTCTCGTATATGTGAAAAGTCAACGAAATAATTTGACATTCAGAAACATAAAAAGGGCAACCAACAATTGCCGTCTATTTAGACTCTTATATTTATTTAGCGATTGTCTATCTACAGGCCTGAATTAAGTTACGTAAATAAGAAACTAAGCATTAGCCATACTTTTAAAAAGAAACCTATCAATTCTTAATCACTTTCCAGGTAATCTAATGCATATTAGATCAACAATGTGTCATATTTTTATAGATATTTTTATCTTCAGTTCGTTTAAGACAAAAAATAAGAAAAAACAAAGTTTGTATGACATGCTAATAGTTTAATCGAACTTTGTGCTTGTCTCTTGATTTCTTCAAAATAATCCTTATAACTAAGATTAAAGTCATTATAGCAAATAGCGTCCTAAAATCGTAATCTTTATTTCGTTAAGCTTCATGCATCATTTTTTTCTATAAGTACGTTGATTGTATATATTCATAAATGTATTATAGTTGCAATCGACACGAATTAAATAACAATTATCATATTGATTATAAAAAAAAATGGATTATCCAATATATCAAAATGAAATTCGTTTAAAAAAATTTGAAAATATTATTCGTAAATATAATATTAATTATGATTTTGCATATCGTCTTCGAGCACTTGAAGGTTTTGAAATTGTTATGATAATTGATGATAGTACATCAATGCGTACACCAATTATTGATTATGATCAAGAATATATATCATCATTTAATCAACTACCAACACGTTGGGATGAACTTAAACATATTGTATCTATTATTGTTGATTTAGCTGGTACGCTAGATCCAGTTGGTATTGATATTTATTTTCTTAATCGACAACCACTTTTACATGTTATTGATTCATCACAACTTCATGAAACATTTTCTCGTTTACCCAATGGTCCAACACCAATTACACGTGTACTTAATTATATATTAAATTTAAAACGTTCACATATATATGAACGTAAACTATTAATTTTAATTGCAACAGATGGTTTACCAACAGATGACAATGGACAAAATGATCTTAATAGTTTAGAAAAAGTTTTACTTTATGAACGATATCCATCAATTGACCGAATGTATGTAACATTTATTGCTTGTACAAATGATCTTCAAACAGTTACTTGTTTAAATAATTTTGATAAAAATATTCCTTATGTTGATGTTCTTGATGATTATCAAAGTGAACGAATGGAAGTATTAAATGTACAAGGAAAGCATTTTCCATTCAGTTATGGTGATTATGTTGTTAAACTTTTACTGGGTTCAATTGATCCATGGTTTGATTATTTAGATGAAAAAAAAGTTAAACTAACTTCTTTAGGAAGAAATCAACAAGAAAATTCTTCAACACATAAGATAAATTGTACAATATCTTAAATTGAAACTGAATAACCACAGAAAAATACTACATGGGTTGCTTAAGTTATTTTTATATAATGTATATTTTTTGTATGAAAATTTTTGATACAAAAGTTTTCTTTCAACGAAGAGAATTGATCTTGAAATTATCGTATTTACATTGGATAGCATCACATGTCTGTTGTTATCATATTTTCAAATGTCTACTATGTACAGCAAAGTTCGAAATAAGTTGTAAAATCTCAATTCCATTCGACCAACGTTTTGTTTTGAAAAACAAAACAGATTCAAATCAAATAATTGACTTATTCAATTGTTTTTTTTTTTTGTTAAGTGATGGTGATATAATTTAATGGAAGTTATAAAAATTAAAAAATACATAAATTAATAAAAGGAACTATGAGAGAACTATTTTTATGTTACATGAAATCAAATTCAATTAAGATGATGAACTCATCGATGAGATTTGAAGGAAAGTTGAGAGATTGATATCAAATCATCAATACGACGATTCTAAACAAAAAGAATTTTTAACGTTGTGTTATCATCATATATTTTTCTGCAATCTTTCAAATGTAAAACAGAAACAAACTATATCCGAACTATCTGAACAATAATTTAAAGAACTTTCCAAATTTAGAATTTACTTTTTCTTTAATACTCGAGTTTCTTTTAATATTTTTATGAATCTATTAAAGCATTACAATTTATAGAAAAATCATTTTAAAGTTGAGTATTTCAAGAACTTCCGTAGTCTGTTTCTGTGACAACAAACATTTGCAAGTTTGACGTATTAAGGAAAATCGGAAATTGACACTTTTATTAAACCCAAGCATTCTTTTTCCTTCACAGTAGACAAAAATAAAAATTCATTACCATGATCGGTCGTCTGTAAATGAAACCTTTTTTCTCTTGTTTTTCAAGTTCATCTCGTGTTGTTGATGTTGCTGCACGTTGTTTTGCTGCTTGTCGATAACGTTGTGCTTGTTGTTCAGCTCGTTCTCTATTTAATAAAAGATGATCAGTAATCCAATGATTAATTATCAAAAATCTAACTAACTTGTGTTTTTGAGCTCGTACAATTCGACAAATTTTTGCAGCTCGTTTTATTTCATTATCATATGTTTCATCATTAGCTGATGGTACTTGAATTATTTGTGGATGTGATATAAAAAGTTGTGTTCCGGTATTTTTTAACATTTGACTTGAACGTAAGAATTTTTCTGCTAATGGTGAATTACCATTTAAATCAAAGCGATAATCTTCGAAAAGAACACGTCGACTATAAAAATAACAAAAGAATATTACATTAGAATCTAACAAAATTTTTATTTCAAGAAAGCTTATAGAGCATGCAAATCATGCGAACATGCAAAGAATTGCTTAAGAATTATGTAAAATAAAAGAAATGAAAAGGTTTCATCAAACCTGAATGTTTTTGTCGATTACCTAAATATGATTTTTGTTTTTTTTTCTTTAAAGTTTAATTAAAAAATGAATATATTTAAATAAATATACAGTAGCGGGCAAAGGTCTCTCATCATCCCTATTTCGACTACCATCCATACCATAAGTCGGAAAATTTCTGTGCACATACTACACTAAGATTTTACATCTGATACGGAGAGTTCTCCAACTGTTCAATCGCTTTTAAGTCAAAATTATGTGTGTTATGCAGATCCAAATGAGGTGTGAATACTCTGAAAATAGTTTGTATCATTCGTTTATTGCTACGGAAATACTGCACTTTTGTGATAGTTTTACATCGATACCTTGGTAATAGAAAAACTGATTTTCGAATGTCGATGTGAAACTTATCATTGAGAGACAGGTCTAGCTTTTTGTGAATGTTTCAGATCTTGTCATTGTTCCTATCCTAAGATGCAATTATGATAATAGTTTGTCTTTTACATCACTCAAATAAATAAGCAGATTGAATGTTCTTATTATTAGATAGAAGCAAATCAAGAGACATAAACTTTCACAATGCAGTACTCTTGTTAAGATTTCTTAATATTCAAAGATTCAAGTCAAAATTTGAAACTCAGATTGTCTGGTATTTCTGAGAGAGACGGTAGCATTTATTCGAAAAATATCGTAAAAATGCTGTATCTGCGTAACAATAAGCTATGATCAACAACTCTTTTCAAGACATTTATAGCTCATTTGAATCTAAATGAAGTGCATAGTCTTCACTCAAAAGTGATTGAACAACTAGGAGAACTTTCCGTGTCAAATGCAGCAAACTTTAATAAAATTATCTGATCTTTTAGCTAAAAAAATAGCAAAAACTAAGCTCTCCTTGCAAGCTAAAATATCAAGATTTAGTCATGTACTTGATAACAGCTAACAAAAAATCAAGTAGATAATCTTTTTCAGATTAAAAGCTTTAAGCGAAGACAGGCAGCATTCTTCATCGTTGTTCTCGTTGTATTTAAGTCATCAGAATAATCTCGTGCTTCTGAATTAAATATTTTGTGTAGTCTTAGCATACAAAGTTTCAGACTTTCAACATGTATAGGAGTCATGATACGGAGGCGGTAGACTTTTGTTCATTACTGTATATATATATAAATTCTTCTTACTCCGGTATTGGATCGTGTGTATGTTTGTACATTTCATCCAAAAGTTCATGTGGTTCTTTGCGTTTATTTAGTTTGAATGATACATGATAAGCACTTGAAACAGCACTTTCACTTCCCGAAGTTTTCGCATCATTTATTACTGAACTGCGTGAAGTTGATGGCATCGTTAATGAAGTATGCGGTGCTGTTGTTGCTGTAGGAGCTACTGCTGAACTTGGTGAAGGTGTTGTTTCTTTAAATGATATTTTTTCTTGTTGAACAATTTTTGATCGCCATTGTACGTAGCGACGAGGTGGTGCCGGAATGCCACCTAACCATAATTGACAAATATTTGAAATTGAACTTTTAAATGTATCTAAATTGACTAATTCTTTCATGCGTTGACCAGGAGTCTCTGATAGATTTCCAAGTTCTAATGGTGCATTTTTATTTTCATCACTAGTTTTTCCAGCTGCTTCAGCATCAGCAGGCATTTGTTTAATTGATGATGGAAAACATACTTTAAAACATGCAAAAACAGTTTCAGCTAAAAGTGATGGATAAACCTAATAGAGCAAACGAGATAAATGAAAAAGAATAAAATAATGTTTAGAACCTGAAAACATTTATCACGATAGCGTAAATCAAGTTCCATCATAAGAAGAGCAACATAGTTAGTGGAACATCGCTCAAGTAATTTCTTTTGAATTGTAGGTTGATTTTGATAATTTTCAAGAAATACCCACCAAAATATATCCTAAAAGAGAGTAATAATATAATATGATATAGATCGATATTGATATATATATATATATATGAAAAATAATATTTCATCATAAATTGTATCTTAATAATACAAGTTACGAGTCTTTGAAATACCTCCTTTTATGAAACTCATATATATTTTTGTAGAAAACAGTCAGCATGAGTTTAAATCGAGGTTTTTGTAGTTTTCCATTTTCTAGATCATAACAAACGTGGGTGCAAGGAGAAAAACCAAAGATTATGGGTTCAGTTTCCATAACAACGCTAGGAAGGAATTCAACGATGATTGGGTACGGTTTCCTAGCAACGAGAAAAGTGCGTCAGCAATAATAGTGCTTAAATCATTCTGAAACTTTTTAGAGTCTCCCAAAGTATTCTATGAATATAATGTTTCTACTGTAGATTTTATCTAGTCAAAATATTACGGGTTATGGTATTTGATGCAGCGAAGGGGTCTTATTTGTAGGTGTCAATCAATAGGATTGTGGTATTATTGATCTAACAGAACCTGAATAGAACGTACATGGAAATGTATGAATTAATCGAATTCGAAGTGTCGACAAAACTCAACAGTATATGTCAAGATTCGTCGAAAGAAAGGATGATGTGCTTGGGTGTACACTGAACGATTAGTTCAATATATATATATAGCAGGCTAATATGATTGTTGAACCGACGAAACAAAGAAAAAAAATGATATTTGCAGCTTTCTATGATATGCATTGTGTATAATATCATCAGGAGAAAAGAAATTATATGTTGAAGATTTATTTGACAATATAAATGAGTTTTTTTAGTATAGCGATGATAAGTGAATCCAGTAAATTGGTAGAGTAGTAATTCTAAATGCAAACATTCTCAAAATAGTAAAAGTATAGAACGCATGTATCAACTATAAATATTGTTATAATTTTGATTTTTTCATTTAGTTGACATCTTTTAAAATAAATTATTTTATCTCTCCTCTGACAATAAACTATTAATTAATAACAGTAAAAGTTTGTGGTTTTTACACTTTGACCACATATGAAGCTGCACTGACAATTTTTTTAATTTATTTCATTCACTCATTGATAAAACTTACCAAAATTAAGGCTTTCGTTGGCATAGAATAGTAGAGATCAATTAACGATTTAATATATGGTGCCTATAAATATCAAATAAACAACATATTTTATATACATAAGTCTACTCTTTACTTGTTTTGATAGAGTATATCGTTTTGGAAGTACAAGTCTCATGACTTGTCTATCGAGAGAAACATTAAATGGTAACGGAGTAACACGAGCTTCTTCAAAACCGGGATATTGAAAAATTTCTAGTAATGTTGATCGATCTTGGTCTAATAACGTGTTAGAACTTCCCTATGGTGTAACGCAATTATTGAAGATATATTTTGATTAAAGACGATATGTTTACCTTTGGTTTAACTGTTGTTGTAATTTGATCTTGAAAAGTAGATTTAAAAGCAAGAAGACCCGCAAACTGTTGTACTTGTTGTCTTGATTGTCCTTAAAAAAAATAAAATATATAACTATGAAATTTTTGTAAATAAACAAAAACAAAAATGAAATCTTACCATTTTGTATTGCATTAGCTCGAAGTTTTTCGGAAGTAATTAATGCTTGATTTTTATTTGCATCTGATGGGGCTTCAACTGATCTCAATGCTTGATCAAGTTTAGATATTTTATCATTAATTAATTCTAGAAGATTAATACCAGTTAATGCTAAAAAACAAGATCATAGCTTTTTCATCAATTTATCGAACACAGAAAAAAAGCAAATCTATTTACGAGTAGTAAGTTCTTCTTTAAGTTCAGTTTCAAAATCTTTGTCATCATTTATTTCATTTGTAATGTATCGAGCATGGCCATTAACGTCACTTTCAATAGTTGATACAGCAGATGATACACGTGATGTACGATGTGTACTAGGACTGGATATTCGTTTAGCTGAAGCACTTCGAATACGATCGGATGATTGTGGTCGCGCTTCACTACTTGGAAAAACGACCACAGGCGAATAAACACGAGCTATATCAACCATGAAAAACAATCAAGAAATATTTTTTGTCGTCCTGGCAAAAGAAAGAAATCAATCAGACTTGACTTTTAACTTGTATATATAATAATTAAAGAAAAATATGCGACATCTAACGATCAATTTCATTCAATGAATAAAGGTTTCTTCTTAGTTTCTTTAAACTCAAATGGCTTCTCGTTAGTTGTTGAAACAAATTTTTTGTCATCTTATTAAAATTCTCAAACAAAAAAAAGATGGCATCTAGTTTACGTACAAAAGCAGTTGAACGTTCAATAAAAATTAATTCAGCAGCTTATTATTCATATGTTGATGATAGTAAAAATCCAGTTTTACAAAGTTTTGAAGCACAAATATCTGATTTTAAAAATTATATTGCAAAACAACAAAAATCAAATCAATCAATTGATGGTCGATTGTATGTAAAGAATGAAAGTTTTTAAAATTTTTATTTTTGTATAAAAAAAATATATTTAGATCGGAAACATTATTTCAATTATGGAGTGCTTATCAACCAAGATTATCTGTGCGAATGTATTGTGAAAAATTAATGCATCTTGGTGAATATCTTGTTGCATATGAAGTAAGTTGTAGTTTTGAGCGTTTTCAAATTTTTTTTTTATGAAGAAAATACGTAAATGTTCGAAGTCAGAATTAAGATGTTGACTTTCAGAATCCTATCAATTCAGATAAGAAAGTCAAAAATGAAAGTAGCTGACATTACCTCTGGAAAATACTTTCAAGTATCTGTAATAAAAATTTCAGTCCGATCGAACAAAGTTAGAGAAAGGTTGTAAGCCATCAAGATTCAGAAAACTGATGCTTAGCGTTACACTAAGTAAAAGAAAAGAAGAGAGGAAGATACCCTTAATGATAAGAGAAGAAAATAAATTTTTTTATTGATTTATTTTTATTTTTCAGAAATATAATATTGCATTATTTCAATGCTATCAAAGATATTTAAATGAATTTGGTTCATTTCGTATGCAAGATTTTCAAACAGTAGATGAAATTGAAGATAAATTTTTTCCACTTGGTTTATCTGATGTTACAGCTGATATATCTGTATGTTCAAAAAAAACAAAAGAAGCAATCCTTTATTATCTATGAAATCTTATTATTTCTTTTGTTTTATAGTTTCGAGCTTTAATGGGTTGTGCTCTATGTTTATTTTATTTGGCTATTGAACAAGATCCAAAAGTACAACTAGATGAAACACTTGATCGATGTTTAATAACACTTTCATTTATTCGATTATTAATGAATTTAGCATTGAAAGATGATCAATGGTCATGGCTTGTTTATAATGGAACAATTTATTTATATAAAATGAGTCGTTATTTGATGACATTGGGTTATTCTTTAAAGGTTGTTTCATCTTTTGTTTAGAGAAAATATTCAATTTTTCAATTTAAATATTTTCTTTTACATTTATAAAGGTTGTTGAATATCTTGTATGGGCTGCTGTCAGTACAGAAATGTGTTTACCATTATTATCTATTTCATATTTACCATGGCGATCGACGCTTTATTGTGCAGCATGTGAAGCATTTTATGATAGTCGAATGTCACCAGATGGCGAAGTAAGAAATTTTATTTGACAAAATAAAATAAATATAATTTAAACTTTCTACATATTTTAGAAAGCAATTGCTGGAGAAGTATGTATACCTAAAAATATTTCACTCAGAAATCATCAATGTTGCATATTTTGAAATCAAGAATTTAATCGAAAGAAATATTTCATAAAAACAAATTATCATCTTAGAAAAGATTAAAATTTAATTTCACTTAAAATGTGATCTCAATTATTGATATGTATATCAGTGTCAGAGAAATCAATTTATAGAATGAAACAACTTTTCCAGAACATTTACATGCTACGATCTAAGCAAGTTCATACTAGAAATTTGTTCGAGTTAATTTAAGGTGTTGCCTGTTAATACCAATTCTTTAGCATAAAAATCTCAAAACAATAAATTCAAAAAAAAAGGCCTAGTCCCAAAAACAGGTTCCAGCAGGCATTGCAGTTTCACATACTTTTTTCAACAAATATTAAAACCATTGACTACCGTGAAGTTCCTTCCAGAGTTTTGGGCTCCACAATCAAAATAATATACACACAGAAAACAGCGAAAATTTTTTTTCATTTTTCTGAAGATAGCATATTTTTCCAGCAAATGATGACAGAAATCATCAAAAATTGTGGCAAAGACGAAAGTGCCAAATAAAAAAAGTCACGTCGTTTATGAAAGATCCAACCTCAGACTATCTTCTCATGCATTTATCTTAATTTCGATTAATCTGATGAAAATGAACTTCCTTCAAAGAGGAAAAGATCTTCATTTATATATATATGCATAAAATTTTCGAATAGAAAATTTCATTATTTAAGATTCATTCAGTTTTCTTGTTTTAAGAACAACAACACACTATAATTGTATGTCAAAAATGACATTAAAACCAAATTACTATGTGTACAGTGATCTAATGTATAATTAAAAAAATCTTGACTACAAAATTAATCTTCCATAAAAATGATTTCAAATCAGTTTTTGAATATACGAGTTAATGTCACGAAAAATCAATATTAATAAAATCTTCTCTATCTTTTCTTGCTCAATATTAATTCAGAATAAATTCACATACCTAAACATTCCATTTGCAAATCTGAGAACGCGTAATCAGTGTTCTGTCTAGAATGTCTCTTCTGGATGAGTGATTTCGAACTCCGGAAGGGCGAACAACTATTTTTGGGACCATAGACACATAATATACTGTACAATAACCATAAGTAGCATCGGTAGGGGTAACTCTGATCTGCGGAAGGCGTCGACCTCTCAGCGCTTATGCTGAACAAAACACTGCCGATGATATTCAAAATGTGTGTCAAGTTTATTATTCTGTCTCTGTTATCAAAATAATATTAATTTAAATCTATTCGAACACTAGAATGATATAGAATCTTGATTTTTCGTATCTTTTTTTCTTGAATATTGTATTAAATATTTCTTATAAAATAATTATTGAATTACTTTTATTTTTAATTGAGAATTTTGCTCGACGTGGGTTAGAACAATTTAAAAATTTACATGAACTACAAGCTATTAGTGTTGAAGGTGATAAATGTCAACAAGAAAATTCTTTTCGTCAAGCAACAATTAAAATAGCTACAATGATATTTAAACGAATGGTATTTGAAAATCGTCGAAAAGCAAAAAGTGTACTTCGACCAAAATTTCGTCAAAATTATAGAGAACTTAGTGGTCCATGGCCAAGAACATTAACAGAAAAATTACTGAGTGATATGTTTGATTGTCGTTGTGCACAATTTTTAGCTATACTTCAAGCATTATCCGATAGTAATCGACGTTTAGTATTAACTAGTCCAGCAGCAAGTGAACAAGAAATTGAAATACTTGATGTTACAACTGAATTATTTTATGCAGCTCAATATATTTTACAAGGTAAAAAAGAAAATAAAAGAATATCATGTACTTAGGTCAGGCGAGAAGTTCTATTACTTCCAAAATTTTATTTATAGAAAAGACATTTCATCTATCTATCCATAGCACATGTTCGAAGTAAATAGTCACTGTAATGTTGGATACAAAGTTTCATCCTTTCAATCCACTTCTAAAAAGTCTTTTCTATATTCGTTAACAGGTATCGAATGAAGCTTCTTGATTATTGTCTTCTTCAAAGACTGGCTTCATCCGAATAGATTTCAATTCTACCTTTAAGATAGATGAACAAGTAAAATTATGAAGGAGCAAAGTCAGAAAAGTATGGAGCATGGATGAGCCATAACTTTAATTTTTTTTCTTAAAGATAAAATTTTTCACATGAAGCCTTGTATTGCCATGATGAAGTTTCATACTGTTTGTTGCTGATAACGGCCTTCTTTTTCAATAATTTCTTGAACAATAGTTTTAAACATTTATCACAATAATATATGCCATCAATAGATACTTCAGAAGGTACTTGATAGATAAGCAACGATCCGATATTGATAAAGAAAACAATGTTTGTTGTTTTCTTTTCATACAGTTATCTTCTGACGACAGTCGGAGAACTTTCTCCCTCTGCTACTCACGCTTTTGTGTCAGTACTCCAATGGTAGCTCCAAGCCTCATCGCCAGTGATAATATCATATAAGTGTCCTAAGCTACTGTCGAACTTTTCTAAGTTTTCGATACATATATTAATGCGTCGCTGTCAGTGTTCTTGTATCAGTTCATGCTGTACTCATCTTAACAAGATCTTTCTTGCTATAGATATTGTTTTAGAATGGTTTGCACACCATCGTAAGATATATTCAAGGTGTCGGCTATTAGATCAATAGTAATATGTAGCTTTTCATGCATCAGATTTTTCACAACGTCAATATTTTCTTGAGGAGCAGTGGTTATTGTATAGCCGCTGCAAGGATAATTGTCTGCTAATGACTCACGTTCGCTTGTAAAATCATGAAAACAGTGGGGAACTGTACTACACCATACTTAATCTTGACCATCAATAGAAACGAATTTATTACGGATTTAAATAGTAATTAAACCCTATAACGAAGATCGTTAGGAGTTGTAAATGATATTTATACTTTAATAGATAACTAATGCGTTTACCCTAAATACAAATCAATTGTTTTTTTCTTTCTTATTTTAGTTAAACATGCAAATGTCGCTCAAATAGCTGGAGCAAATGAAAATAGTACCTATCCAAATATAATATTAAAGCAAGATGTCAGTTTAATTGATTTGGCTGTTAATGGTTTGGTTTTAAAAAAAATAGTTTCTTTTAAAAAGAATTAATATGAACTTTTTCTTTTTTTAGGCCAATATGTTATACCATTATCATATGTTCTTCAATTACTTAAATTAGCATTTAATTATCAAGTTTATGACATATTTGAATCATTAATGGAACCTATTAGTGAACTTGTTGATCGTACTGATGGTAATCAAATGTCATTACTTGCTTTATTACAAATTCTTTATGAAATTGAACAATGTGAAAAAGAACGCAAACCAACACAATATTCTAAAAATGTTTCAACAGGTAAAGGTGGAAAAGATAATGATAAGAAAAAACAAAAACAACGAACTAAAAGTCCAGGAAAAGGAAAAGATGCAGGAGCGCGTAAGAAAAGTCCTGATAATGCAAAAGGAAAATTAAAAAAAACAAAAGCTGTTAAAGATTTAATTGATGCTGCTAAAGCAACACGTATTGTACCTATTAAAGAAGTTAAAGTTCAAATTGATCAACCAATTAATGATGATGATGAAGAACGTTCTGTAGAAGAACTACTTGAAGATTTATGTTTCTTGTTACTAACAGACTCGCGCATTGTATGTATCTTCTTATATTGTTTTTTCTTCTAAATTATTCTCTTTTCTTTGTTGACTAAAAGCAAGAAAAAATTGAGCAAGATGTTTTGATTGATGTTAGTTTATTATTGTGGAACAAATGTCGACCTGTTCTAAGAAAACTTTATAATGAACCAAATGATAATCAACGTTGGTTAACACGACTTGATCATGATCATATTAAAGTAAGAATTTTGTTTCTTGGAAATTGAAAGCCTTAGATCGATTTACTATGCTGTAATAAAATTTATTCTGACTCGAGGGGTTCAGATAATCATCGATCGAGAACAAAGGTAAAAAAAGAGGAATTTGGATTTTTGTAAGTTTGGGTTTCACTAGATTCGTCTTCATTAGCTGGGATACAAATTAAAAAAACATAGATGCCATACAAATTTCTAATCCGAAGCCTTGCATATGTTTGAGCAAACTATACCTCAATTATTTTAGTAAGCTATTTTTGATTAAATTATAAGATGGTGGGAAACGGTTTAATAAAAATGTATTTTTGATTTGTTTCTATTATATTAAGTACCTCGTTCAAATTCAGATAATAATTTTAATAGCCAATGAAGTTTTCTATCTAATTTATTCTATTACAAGATTCCATAAATAAACTATAAATAAAAAACGAAATTTATTCAAAAATAGACTAAAGGACAATTTTTTTCGATTTTTATCATACTTCTAAGTTTTTAAGAGAAGATCGTAGGAGATATGATGACACTTCATTTTGTTCAGAATTTTGTGCTCTTTGAAACTGACATTCTTAAAAAAGATTCTGGGACGTGAACACTATCGTATCTGTTTTTTTTTAGAAACCTTGTTGTCATAGTTCATCTACGAAGTCTTGCTATAAAATTTGCTGGAAAACTTAATTAGTTATTAAAATCACTATCTGGACTTGAGCTAGGTGCTTAATATTATACAAAAAAAAATCAAAAATACGTTATTATCAGACTTTTTCCCATCACTTTAGATTTAATAATATTTCAATATATAATGGAAATATGAAATCTTTCCTATTGATCTAGTTCATTGTTTTTATGATAAGATAATCTTATGACTTCTAATATTGTTGCATTTTTTTAGTGGATTCATTTATGTTTTCAAACACATGAAATCATGTCTCGTTTTAACTTTGCTAATGTTGATTCATGTGCTTATGCTGAATGTTCACTTCGTCTTGGTCAAATATTATTTACTCTCATTCAACCTAGTTCATCAGTTGAAGGTAATAAAATCAATCAGTCTCTTTTCTTTTTTTTTTTTCTTCTTCTTAATAATGTACGCTTCATTATTATTTCAGCAACAATTCGTACTAGTTCTTACAAACAACGTTTAGATCAATTACGTGAATATTTAACAAATAATTCTGCTAAACCATTATTACAAAGTTATATGGAAGAATTTAAACGACAACAAGCTGCACTCGATGTTGTGGCAGCAAAAGAAACAAAACATGTAAAACAACAATCTCATAGTGCTAATACTCATTCATTACTTGCTAATGATACATTAGGATTATCTCGTTATTTTCCATTAGTTTTCTTTGCTGAACAATTTTTAGCACGATCATTAAAAATATTAGCTCAAGCACGATCAAATCTTATTCGTTTTGATGGTTCATCTATGTTCGATCGAAATTGGGTATTAACTTCTTTTGTCAAATCAAAATTGAGTTTTAATTAAAATCTTATTGTTTTTTCTTTTTGTGCTCAATGTAGTCAGCCAAAACTAATGATAATGATGAAGAATTGGACACATATAGTCAAACACGTTTTATTGCTACACAACCATTTCTAGCTGAAAAAGGTCGTACAAGCAAATTAATTGATAATCTTGTTAAAGATCTTGACGCTGAATTACATTTTGTTTATTGTCGTGTTGTTGCTTTACTTGAACAAATATCTGATGCAAGTAAGTTATTTATTTATTTATTTCATTTAAATATGCAGAATAAATTTAGGAGCATTAAAAAAAGGTCCTATTGACCAATATTTAAATGATGCTCGTGGTAATTCACATAAAAAAGCATTATTATGTGCAACATATGCAAGTACGAGACGTGATGAAAATGTTGCTGCAGAATATATGCAGGTTAATTTTTAAACTATGATTTCTAATTTTTCAACTTTTACAACTATCTTTTTTATTTTAGAAAGCTTATAAACATTTATTATCAGCTGAAGAAGAAGATCGTCTTTATTTTTCGTATCATCAAAATAAAAAATCTGAAATAACATCATCTACAAGTGTTCCTCGTCCATGTATTATTGCTCGAGGACCTGATTTTGTTTTTGTTATGGCACCAGATTTTGGTTCATTCTCAAGCAAAGTATAATTTATATATTTCATTTTTTTTTTTTTGGAAAATAATATCTTGTTTTATTTTCAGGTTGCTACATATCGTATTTTTTGTCGAGCAGCTGATCGTCCCAATGCAAAAGCTCGTATCGCTGATACAAATTATCCTGGCAGTGGTCAACAGGTTTTCTTTTTCGATGTTTTTTTCTAATGTTAAGATTCTTTGTTTTAGATTCCAGCAAGTTTTATTAAACCACTTAAAATTTCTGGACTTGATCCTGATCTTAAATATGTTTTTTCATTAGCAATATATGATATTAATGGACAACTAATTGGTGAAAGTGTTAGTGAATCAACAGAACCTATATTAGCTGCACATCCAATATCATTATTATTTATTCGATGTCTTCTTTCACAAGTTTGTTTTATATATTTTTTTTCTTGTGTCTATTCATACGCTATATCATTATAGGTTTCCTACGAAATAAAACAATATACAGTTGCGAAAAAAGCCTTTCATTCACTTTGGACATATTTTGTACGAACACCAATGGTTATTGAAAGTTCAATACGAGAATTATCGGTGGAAAATCCATTGGTTATTTACGAGTAATTAAAAACAAAAATTGTCTAAATGATAATTCATAAATAATAGAATCCTCTGGTTTTCTTTGTTTTAAAACAAAAGCAAAATAATGATTTTTTATTCGGAAACTTTTTACGTTCACTTTCCATCAAACGATTCTTTAAAATTTTGAAAATTCATCAAACGGAGTCTATGAAAATTAGTTCATATGCGACATATATCAGAGAAACATGCTCGTTTATAGTGCTTTGAATTTTACTCATAGCATCTTCCATCTGTTTTCTTGTATTGGTTCAGCTAATCCGTCCGAGTTCAAGCTTTTATTGTGTTATTATGAAGTTCTCGATTATGTTTCACTTTCCCTATCAAACGATGCCAAATTTTAGATATGCTATTCAATCGAACTTTCCGTTTAATAATTGATTACGGCAATTGACCGATTAATGAAGAAAAAGTTCGAAGTGATTCATCACTTTTGAATACATATTTTATGCAGTTAAAGAATACGGCGAGACTAAAATAATCCCCAAAATGACTCAAGCCCATAAGTCTTTGCTATAGATCTACAATAATTTTGCTAGACTTTTATCATATGAGAGAGGATTAACAGGGAAATCGAATGAAGAATTTTTAACTTGAAACTTTATCGAGAAATAGGTCTCATGGTTGCAAGGATATCCTGAAAATTTCACTCAGAAGACTCAGGGTTGGAACCAGTTGAGCAATAGCAACCCAATCCTGTACGGCCGGTTGAAAAATCCTACCGGTCCGGTCGGGTCGAAAACCAGTCAGTTGGAATTACATATCCAACCGGTGAAAACCGGCGGAAAAATGTGGAATTTTTTTTGAAAAACGATTTTTAGAAAAAAATGACTTCAAATATGAAATACTTTAGGGGCGCATGTAAAAGACACTCATCAAAATGAATCTTTTTAAAGAGAATCTCAGAAAAAAATGATTAATATAACATATGTTTTGAGCACTTTTTTTACACATTCTGACAGAAAAAATATGCAACACCTTAGTTTTAACGGCGAAAAACAAGGTTAACCAAGAAGATTTTTCCAAACCTTCAAACGGTGAAATTTCGTTATCTACCGGATTGGTTCCAATCTTGAGAAGACTTGCTTCTTTCTTGAGATGTTTAACCTTCAACAATTGACCAGAGCACAGAATAGATCAGAACAATCGACAGCTTTCATACATCGAATATGTCAAAAAGAAAGCAAATATTTTGACTGAGAATTTTAACATATTCTTAGAAACATGAGAACTACTTATAGAGGAAAAAATCGTTTGTTTAGTAAAATCTCGGCAAATTTTCTTAGCTCTGTTGAGAAGATCTATGGATTCGAATTCTTTTTTTGAGTTTGTTTTAGATTCGACTTTCTCTCTATATGCCATAAATACGAGCTCGAGCTCAAATGTGTTAAATTATTTCTGGTGCTTCCTATATTCGTAAGATGGCATGTTTCCGATTTTGTATCCATAATAGGCCATGATTCTCAAAACGAAGTAGACAGTTTTATCGATAAAAAAATTTCTTGTTGAAAAATCTCATAAACTAGCTTTTGCACTGTATTTTCATTCTTTACAAAACATTGCTAGTATACTTATGTTTAGATTACGATATTCACGTGTTGCTGAAAGTTCAATATCATTATTACAAAAATTCATTAATTCAATTTTTATTAATCTTGAAATATATATAAAAGAAAATCATTTTTATTGTGATATGATAACACCAACATCATCTAATCGTGCAAATCAAGTATATTTAATTTTATTAAATTTCTCGAAAAATATCTTTTATCTTTTTCTTAGATAAAACGTATTCATGCATGTAGTCAAATATTAATTGCATTAGAACTTTCATGTTGGCTTAATGATTCATATTATGCACTACAATCAATTATTTATTTATATGGTTTATTAACACCATTAATATTTTATAAAATATTTTATTCATCTGTAAATCAAATTTTTGAAAAATGTTTATCTGTATTTGAAGAAATTTCTCAACAAATGCCAAAACAACGTACACGTACTATACAAGATAATATTCATCATATGATTGCATGTATATCATATTATATGAGTCAATATTTACAACAAAACGATGAAATTAAATTATCGAATTTAATTAATCAAATAGGAAAAAAGTTCTTATCATCTATGCCAACAACACAGCAAATATCGCAAACAACAAATATAAATGATACAACTGGACCTGAACAATTTTCACCAGCAGGTACAAAAGGACAAATAGCATTATCCGATGATATTGCTGAACAATTAATACCAAAAGTTCATTATTCAACAATTCATAATGAAGAACTTAAAGCATTAGAACGTTTTGTAGCTAGAGAACGTACTCCACATACAATTCTTACTGGAAATGAAGATCCGACTACTGTCTATATTTTTATTAATGCAACATCTGCTCGACAAAGTTATAAAGAAGGTACGCCGTTGAAAAAAAATTAATAAATAGGATACGTCATTCTATTACTAACGAAGGAATATTTCTTAGTGTCCAATCGCTTTTGAGTTGGAACTACGTGCATCAGATAGGTTCTAATGAGCAATGATTATCCTGAAGAGAATTCACTCTAAAAGTTTTTTATTGTCGAGACTATTTTTACTAGCAAAATGCAATGATCCCCCTCAGAAACACTAGGAAAAGTGAGATTTGAATTTTGACTTGTAACTTCGCATAGAGATATGCCTTTATGAAAATAATTTACTTTAAAAGTTTTCGATCTTTTGATTGCTTCTATACTAAGATACAGCTATGGTAAAAGTATGCTTTTACACCGCTTATATACAACAGCAATTTTCGATGTTCGTATTTCAGAATAGCCGCTATCAAAAAATCTGAAACTTTCACAAAAAACTATTCTTCTCAAGACCGGTCGCTATGCAAAGTTTCAAATCGAAAGTTGAAACGCAGTTTTTCTGATGTTTCTGAGAAGAACTGCGGTATTCTGACTAAAAAAAAAATACAGAATCCTGACAGTTATAATCTATTAACTCGAGTTCTTTTCATGATATTCATAGCTTATTAGAACCTACATGATACACATAATTCAGACTCAAAAGCAATATGAGAATTAGAAAAGTTTTCTTGTAAGTAAGACTTCACTATTAAGTTTAACATTTGTTTTCACATATACCAATTTTAGTTTAATAATTCATTTCCTTCGATAAATATACAAATTTTAATAATCTATATGTTTTTAGTTCAAAAGTTCCGTAAACGCCCTTCCTATATGGAATATCTTGCACAAGTTTTAGTAAAATCTTTAATTGATTCATCTAATGATGATATTCTAAATTGGTATGATGAAAATCAAACATTTATATCCAAACGAAATGAACTTATTCTTGGACCATGGCGTATGATAATCAGTAAAGGAGATGGTATTATAGCAATAGCTGGTAGTAATGAAAATAAATATGGTAAAAAAAGAATATATTTCAATAATATCAATTTCAGAAATTCTCTTCACATTTTGTTTTTGTACTTTTTTAGCTGCTGCATTAACAGAATTTAGTCCAGAACGAAAGAAAAAACAAGCTGGAAAAAAGAAACAATCAAATGTAACTAGAAAATTGTTACGAGCAAAACCAACTAAATATTATTATCTTATTCCACCTAATACACCAGAGGCAGTTCGTCTTGAACTTGAACAACGTCAAAAACCTGTAAGTATTACTAACATTTTCATGAATTATAATACATAGGATTAACCTTTATTTTAAACGTAATCTTTTCCTTTTGTTTTTCATCATTGACCGTTTTAGTATTTTTCATTTTTATTGACAATAAATATTTGAGGATAAATCAAATCAATATGCTCGTTTAAAGATTAGTAACAAAACAAAAATATTAGTGATTAAACTTCGATAAAGAAAAAACAAAAGGATTGACTAAGTCATGAACTCGATTGTTAATTAAATATAAAACAAACGATTATAAAATTTGTTTTTTTTCTTCTTTGAAACAAACGATATATATTTATTGTGTTTCAACTGTAAATTGAATTTCTTGTTTCTGATTTTCATTTAATTGAAATATACCACTAATAGTTGAACCATCAACTTGTAATAAATTATCACTTGTATTTTCTTTTAATGTTAAATTATCTTGTGAAGAAAATTTTAAACGATATTCAATATTTATTGAACGATTTTTATTATTAATTAAATGTAAATTAATTGTGTATGTTGATAAAACAAAACGATAACCATTCGCTTCATAAGCTTGCCGACGAGAACTTAATTGTACATATTCAATATATTGTAAATCAGGATCTTCACCTAAATTAAATTCATTTGTTTCATTAGCGGAATGATCCAACCAATTAGTTTCGCCAACCAAACGATTTGATTCACGTATAAATACTTGTCCTTTCGGTAAATATGTATCTGGTACACGAAGACGATAAGCACGTCGTGCATGACCACGATTATCCATAGGTCGAAAATATTTGTCTATTAAACCATAACGTTCAATATCAATTATTGGACGAAACATTGGAAGAATAAAATTTGATTGAGAATCAAGAGTAAATGTTTCATTTATTGAAAATACATATATACCAGCCAATTCCGTACTTGAAGAAATTGTTGGTGCAGTAGTAGTTGTTGCAGGCATTGCTTGCAGATTAGCAGCACCTCCAGCTGCTTCGTAAGCAGCATAGACACCATTATTATTGTAATATTGCGATGGTGATGATGAAGAAGTAGATTGAATTTTAACATCACCACTAATTAATTCAGCTGAATCAATTATTAATAACGAACTTCCATCATTTCGTATATCAGCATAGGCTTGTAAAATAGAATCATTATCATTCGTTTCTAATAAAAGATCATAACGTACTTTCCATTTAATATTATTTTGTAAATAACGTAAATAAAGTTGTTCAACATGACTTGTATGAAATATAAAATTAACAAAATAATTTCGTACTGGTGGAATTGATAAATATCTTATACGATCTGATGTTATTGTATAATATGTATTATCAATTAAATCAAGTATTAAATATCGTGTTTCATCAATCATTATAGCTTCTGTATATTTATCATCTTTTAAACTACGTTGAATAAATATTTTTTGACCATTTAATGAAGTACGATTATAAGAAATAATTTGTCCTTGAATATTAACATAATCACCAATTAAACGAAATGAATCTGATCGTATATCATTCCATTCTTGTTGAGTATATGTTATCGGTAAATCAAATGGTGATATTGGTCGAGAAATTTCAGCTATATTATCAAATATTTGTATACGAATACCATTGTATGTATCATTATATGATTCAATAAGATGAATCTTGAGAATAATTATTGATAAAAAATAGTAGATAATATTCATTGTTGAATGTAACTATTTTGATCTCTTTGCATTCGTATATATTTATAGTGTAGAGATAAAACCGAAAAAAAAAAGATGAAGGCGCTTGTCATGAATCTATGTGTATCTTAGTTAAGCCCTATGAATAAAGAGAAAAAAAATGTCCATAAATGTCAGGAACAAATTTAAAAATCAAGGTTTTGTTTATTTTTTTTACCTTAATAGGCTATTGATAAATTATTCAATGTATTGCCTGATCTTTATCGTCAACGACAAGCAAGAAAAAAATTTCGTCGATTCATTAATGATGAATTAGTATGGCGTGCACAATATGAATTACTTAATGGACTTTATTGTCTTGATCGTATATCATCGGTGATTAAAGAATCTAATGAAAAAATTCAAGCTTTATTAGAAGATGGATCTTATAGATTTGATCGTATTAATCCTAATTTATTTACATATGATCAAACAAATCTGATTATTCGAAATGTCACAGATGATGAAGTACTTGATGATCCAACATTAGAACGAAAATTTGAATTTAATTTTACACAATCGGATGTCAAAGATCGTGCAGAAATAATTAATGAATTACTTATTGGTAAATGAAATTTTTCATTACATATTTTCATTTTTTAAAACAACAAATAGAAATGTGTAGGAATAACTTTGTTTTCAACTACTGGAATCGAGACTATGAGGAAAAATAAAGTTGATTGTGTGTTTTTCATTCATACATATCCTTTGAAGTGTTTTCGAACGGCTTGCAAAAAAAAAACAACGAAAATTCTTTTGAAAATGTTTTGACTTCGGATTTGCGCATCTTTCAACAGTTTTCCACACACACTCTCTCTCTTTTCAAAAGGAAGGAAGTGAAAACAGGAGATGAATTTCAATTGATATGCAGTTTTTCTCTGGCCACAGGTATCTCGCAGATACTACAAAAAATACACTCTCTGAACGTGTGAACAGTTTCATCGAATAGGCACTCCTCGAAAATCTATAAATTAAAAACGATGAGTATTTAAAAGAAAATACAAATTTCGTTTTGTTTTCTATTTTGCTCAAAACCAAGTCTCATACAAACATAAGTACTGTTTCGTTCCAGTTTCTCCGATATAATAAAAGGTATTGACGCGAAACTTTTCTCACATATATTAAAGACGATTTCGCTTGAGTATTTTTTATATCTCAAACAAATATTGTTCTGGTGATCTTCAACAGTTTTTACAAAATTTGTCTTCGCAAAAGAACAAGCATTTTGTATTGTGTATCCGATATTTTGAGTTTTTTATTCAAAGAATATAAGGAAACCAAAAGACTTTGCCATTCCAAACAATGTTCATTACCTGCAAGAAAAAGTTTTCAGTTCGATCGAACATAGTATCTAGGAGAAAGATGAGTGGAGGACAAAAAGTAGGATCATTTTGACTCAATCAAAGAAAAATTGTTGAAGTATTTTTTTTTATCGGGACTAGAACTAAACAAATTGGCTCTCGCACATCTCTATCAATGAGTATTGCGTTTTTCAACTTAACCATATCGAAAAGCAAAAGCATTATTTTGAATAGAACGAATTTCTGTCTTGCAAAATTAAAACGATAGAATTATGATTATGAATTTCAACAAATATCCTACGTTGTATTTATCGAGAAGTGTTCAGAGATTAACGAATCAGAATATTTCCTAAATTTTGTTCGTCATTTTCTTATCATGTAGAAAATATACTATTTCGATCAACAGAAAGAGTGGCGTTGATATTCAATTCTTGGCTTCTCTAGAAAAAAAACACTGTTTTTATTTTGTATTATGAATATTATACAACGAAAAGACGATGTTATCAAGACTTTTTTACGTACATTTAGGACAAATATCGGACCCAACTATTTATTTAAATCAAAGAGGTGATGAAACAAGTTCAGTTCGTGATCGTAAACAAATCTCTCCTAATCGCCCACCTCCACCGAAAAAATTATCAACATCTATTTCACCACGTCGTGAACTTAGTGATTTATATCGTCAAAAAACCGATTTTAATGTTACTGATCCATATGGATTCAAACGTATTCGTGCATATCTTGATCGTTTTTATTTGCATTATCGTCGTTCAACTGTACTTGCATATCGTTCAAATAATTGGACATTATTACAAAATACTTGTAAATCATTTTATGATTCAATTGAACAACTTACACAATATCTATCTGTAACAACATTAAATAAAATATTTTCATTAAATGCATTACTTTCACACGGTTATCAAACAATGTTTATAGCAAGTGAATTACTTCTTGATATGCTCTATCGTACAAAACCATTTTATGATAATAATAATGATAAATTAGTAAATACAAATACAAATAAATTAAATCAATGGTTTACTAATATTGAATGTTCATGGACAAGTACAACATTTAATTTTGACCAACCACAAGATCGAACTGTATTGATTGATTTAAGATTTATAAGAAAATTTATTTTACGTACATTACATGCATTATATGTAGCTGCTAAATGGGAAAAATTAGGAACAATAGCCATTAAATTTAATGCTTTATCAGAGTATGATAAATCAAATAGTTTTATGAAGGAAGTTTTCCTATTGTTCAATCGTTTTCTGAGTTGAGATTATATGCATAATGTAGATCAAAATGACTTATGAAAATCATGAAAATAGTTCTTGCTCTTTGTTTATTGATACGAAGATACTGCACTTTTATGGTACTTTTTAAATGAATGCTCTAGTAATAGAAAAAATGATTTTCAAATTTCGAATTGAAATTTTGTATAGATGTAGGCCTTAACGAGAATGTTTTTTTTGTGCATGCTTCAGATCTTGTCGCTGTTCTTATCCTAAAAATAGAACTATGGTAATAGCGCATGTCTTTTATTTAACACATATAAACCAGCAGATTTGATGTTCTTATTTCAGAATAGAAGCAAATCAAAAGATCTGAAACTAGTTTTTTTAAGCCCTATCTTTATGAAGTTTCAATTCGAAATTTCAGAAATCAGCTTCTCTGTTACCACGCACATGTATGTAAAAAATATCATAAAAGTGGAGTATCTTTATTACAATGAGCTAAAGACAAAGTCTTTCTTTAGGATATTTGGAGCTCATTTGGATCTACATACTGCACATAGCCTAGACTCAAAGCAACTGAACAGTTTAAAAACGTTTCTCGCTAGTTTTTTCTGTTTTTTCAATGAGATTCTTTTTTTGTTTTAGTCATTATTTCGCCGATTTAACAAGTCCATTATTAATTGCAGCTCAAACAGCTTTAATACAACAATTACGTGATAAACAATATTCAATTGATCAACCACATTTTGATGAAGCTATTGCTACTCTTGGCCGACCAATACATCCAGATGATTTTTATACACTACGATCAGAGAAATTATTTAAAATAGCTAAGCATATAGATGAAAATTCAGAAAGAATACGTTCAGCATCAACTTTAAGTCTTGGCGCTCGACTTGATCCTAAAGGAACTGATTATTATGCACGTAAGTTATTATTTATTTATATATTTTTCTAAATAGTTTTTCTTTATTTCGAATTTTTTTAAAGAAACAAATCGTGCATTAGAATTAATTAGTATTCCACTTGATGTTGAATTTAGTCGTAAACTTTTACGACAAGCATTAGATAAAACTTATTATTCTTCTCGTTCAATAATCGAATGTCGAAAAATGTTAGCTTTTTATATATATAAACAAGAAGAACAATTAGCAAAAGACTTTTTAATATTTACTCCAATTATTGAAAATCTTCAAGAACATAATGAAGAATTACCAACAAAAAAAGATTTAACATCAACACTTCATTATCGACCATTAACAGCTGGTGAACCATTAGATTTTTCACCATTGATTAATAATAAAATTGATACATCACCATCAGCTCAAATTACAAAAGAATCAGTCATTGAAGCCTATCAAACAATATCAAGTAAGTGAAATTTTTATCATTATCATAAATAAATTTATCATGAAGAGATTATTAACAAATAAGTCAGATGAAAAATTATAAAATATATGAGAAAGTATTCAATGATACTTGTATTTTTCTTTTATTTAACTAAAACAAATATAATAGCATTGAATTTTAGGTTTCATATCCATGATTATATGTTTGTATTGTACGATTTAGCCACAAAACTTGAATTTACATAGAAAGATTATCTAAACTCACGCGGAGACCTCTTCAAATGTCGAATAACTTTTCGATCAAGACGATGTTCATTTGATGAGTACTGGTGCATAATAGAAAAGACTAGAATGATTTTGTTGTCTGGATCTTTGTTCTTCAGATATCGAAATTTTCCTGAGTTTTTCAATCGAAAGGTGTGAGCTCTCTCAGGTCACTTGGAAAATCCACTATAGAGTTTTGATTTATCGAAGCAAAAGTGCATTCACTAAATATTTAAATAAAGTTTTTATTAATTATGGGTTCATCAAATTTTTGACAAAAAACAAATATTTGCGAAAATTTGATGAAAACAATCTGCCAAAATATCTTTGTTTTTGTCCTAATTTTTATATAATAATGATTCTTCTCTGAAAAGGATCATAATTCACAATGACAATTTTTACATATAAATACAAATATTTCTAGAATTATTATTGGGTCAAAATCGTCGTGATCAATATTGTCAAGTACTAACGGAATTAGGTGATTTATATTTTCATTGTGATAAATTAATGTAAGTCATACAAATATATTTCTTATATTTTTCAATAAGAAAATATTTTTTCTAATCAGGGAATCTAAAACAGCATGGTGTGATGTTATTGATACAATACTTGATGGTCATGATGTTGTAACAACATGGTTTCAAAATGATACATTAAAAAATTTACTTTCAAATCGAGGAAAATTACTTGAAAAATGTGGTATTTGGGGATGTTTATTAGGTTCTATTGTTACATGTAAATTAGCTAAGTATGTATATAATTTAATAATAAAATTCTTTTTATAATGATTTATGTTTGTTTTAGATATCATATTCATATTAATTGTGATCAACATCTTCAAACATGTTTATTAAGTTCATATTTTTTACGTTCAATATTTTTTTATACTTTACCACATTCAGAATATGATATTGATTATGCAACATTATTTATCGATAATTCAATATATATATGGCCTGGTATTCAATTAACCAGTGATGAATTTCGTTTAAATCCTCGATCATTAATGGATACATTAGCTTACATATCTGAATCTCTTATTCGTCATGATATTTGTCTTCATGTAAATATTTAAAAAAAAAAACAAATGATTATTTCAATTTGTATTAGATGAATTTTTTTGCTCTACATAGATTCTTCCTGTTATTGCGCTTTATGATGTATTTGCTTTACATTGTCGAAATTTACAACATACAGTACAAGCACGATTGATACGTTTACGTGCACTTATTCAACTTGATCTATTTCATGAAGCACATATAATTATACAAATACTTTTAGATGGACAAAAATTACCAAGTACACAATTAGCTGGACGTTATCGATCAAGCAATGCTGAGAGTAGTTCATCCAAATTTAAAGTAGATAGATTTTTTTTTTCAATTGTTAAATATAAATTAAATTCGTTTTCTTTTCTTATTGTCTTATAGCCACAATATTTTGATAATTCAAAAAGTATTATGTCGGATTATAATATAGGAGTAAGTTTGATATTCTAATGTAAAACGAATTTTTCTACTATGTTCTTTTTTTGTACAGACTTTTATAAGTCATAGTTTATTTAAATTAAGAATGTATAGACGCCAGGAAGCTCTTGTAGACAAAAAAAACCTAACGAATTTCCCAGTGATCTGCTTCGTTTGTGTCCATATATTGTCAATATGTAGTCCAGTTTTCGAAAAAAAACTTATATTTATGAATTTCGACCTGAAAATTTTTACATGTAAAGGTCTCGATTAGGCTATCTCATGTATAATATTTCATCAGTTTTGAATAGCGCACAACTAAGATATAGGTTGCATCGCATAGCCAGCCATGCGCTATTGGGGCGATTGCTCACTGGCCAAAAGTTATTGACTAGGAATTTCTTGTAATGGTGACCAATACTCAATAGTTAAATAGTAATTGCCCATACCTCAAAATAGGTTGATTGAAAAGTTGTTCATTACTCAAAAGTTCATGGCTGCGTCACTGCATAGGTTTTTTAATATATATATGCTTGTCTTTAAGTGTTATGTAAGACAGAGATAGATTGAAAAATTCACATCTTTAAAATGCGATATCTAAAATTGGTGACAGTTCACACGTGAAATAGTTTAATTAAGACCTTCATATATACAAAGTTCCAAGTTAAAATTTCCCAAATACAATTTTTTTCGAAAATTGGACTCGTGCAAAAGACATTTACAACTAAAAAGTTACTATCTCGATCGAATTTAAGCATGAGCAGGTGAATTTTTGAGGCTATGCTATTCTAATGATCTCCTACATTTTGGCAATATATGAGGACAAACAGAGTGAATCACTCGGGAATGCTTTCCCATAAGAAAAATTATTTCAAACTTATTGAAAAGGTGTTTAAATTGAGTGCATATTTTGAAATAGTTTTACTATCTTTTGGAAACTCCGTAAATATAAAGCATTGTTATGAAATTCTTGATTATTCCCTTTGATGGTAAAATTGTATGACTTCTTATTTTTTTAATACTTATGAAATAAAATATATTTATTTATTAGATATTGGATGCACTTCTAGCGGTTAAACTCTCTCCAGCAATGACTCGTCTCTATGGATCACATCTATCTATTGAATTTCATTATCTTTTATCATTATTTTTTGTTCGGCTTGCTTCACGAATTCCAGTTATTGCCAATTTAGATCTTTTTCAGTTAGTTTCATAACTTTGATTATTAATATATTTTATTGAAATATTTATTTGTAGAAATAGTGAATTAAAACAGGCTTTAACAACAACAAACGATTCACGTTCGAAAGCAGGTGCTGGTGGTTCTCGTATAAGTAAGTTTATTTTTTATTGTCATTGAATTTATTTAGCAAGTAGACCAGAATAAATGGATCATTTTTTTTTTAAATTTTTGAGACACTTCTAAGAAGCTTAGAGAGTTCATTCAAGACTTCATACGATAGAGAACTGAAAGCTTTACAAAATTGTTAGTTTCGCTTGTTAAATCTATATTTCTTCTCGTTACAAAATTTAACAGATATCAGAAAAACAATTTTTTATTTTATTCATACAATCTTTAACGTAAAAAACGTTTCTCGTTCATTTATCTTCGAAAATTTTGAAGAGTACATGACGAGTTGCTGATTTATACGAAGACTTCGTGTTTTATTTAGAATTTCAAGAAAACTGTTCCAAAAGAAAGATGTCGTTCATATATTTTAAATCTTTCAATAACAAGAAATATGTATTCGAAGAATGATGTCAACAGTTTTTTAGAGCTTCGCGATCAGCCATTCCATAGACATTTCGACACGTCGATTTCAGTTTCCGATGGGTATCGAAATTCTATATCGAGTGCTTGGGTTATCACGTTACGATAGGTCGACGGTTCGGTATTAGATCATTCACGATGTGACATTGTCGAGAGGATCGAAATTCGATTAAAATAATAGATATTTGTTCGATAAATGCTTATTCTCGAGTCGTCGAATCTATGGAATATAGGTGGAGGAGGAATTTCAAACATGGATACTGATGATTCAGTTTTGTCAAACATCCAAACTAAATATGAAATAGTATTCTTCTCTGAAAGTTCTATTTTCAATTCATAAAAAGATACTCTTTTAAAGATTGTGTTTGTTAAATTAACATAAGCTATTAACTCTTAATCATTAAAAATAACATTTTTAATTTAAGATTGATACATATGGCATTTAAGACGAATTTCAGTCTTAGTTCTCATGAGTTGATGTTTAAATTAAGTTGAACTACATACCGAACATAAATAATTTTTTTGTCAAGGTCGTTGAATAAAAGTAAAAAATCTCAAAATCACTTTTTCAAGAAGTTGAAAGACATTACAATCAGACTTAATAGTCTAAACAGTTATTGTGCTAAGCTTGCTTCTAATGAAGCAATCGAAAGTATCCTTCCGATATGTTGTTTTTTCCTCGCGTAATTAGATCTTCAAGGAGAGTGCTGAATAGAGACGTGCGACATCAAGTATTTTTAGTCCCAGTCTCGGTCATAGTCTGGATACGTCTAGTGTAGGCATGGTTCTGGCGAGATCCTAGCGACTTCATTTCTACTGGTCCTGGTTTCGGTTTAGAGAAACCTATTCCAGAATTTTTTCGTAACACATCAAAATAATTTTTCAATACTCATTTATTTACTTATGAATTTAGTCGACGACAAGCACGTTTTGGGGCATTTACCTTGAATTATTTTCTGATTCATATGCTTTATAAAATAATTTGCTTTAAACCATAGAATATTTTACTATAGACTTCAGTTTCGTTTTTGGCAATTTTTTTATCATAACCCCATTTTCGCACATCTCTAGTACCGACATGTTGGCATGTGTTTGACTGGTCTAAAATGAGTACATGATTAGATACGGTTTTCAAGTATTTGGAATTTGATTCTTTCAAGGGGCACGGAATCGAAACAAAGCGAACAAAAAAAAACATATTTTTCAAATTGTCAACTGTTCATTGTGTGCACTGTATGCTTTTTAAAGTGTACTTGGAACTTTCAAATCATTGTCCAATAAAGCTAGAACGAACGCCTTAAGTTTCTTAGATACATCAGAAAAATAAAAAAAATAATCATTTCAGTTTTCCATCATCTCTTATTTTCTCATTTAATTTCTTTTAGCATCAGCAACGAAATTAAAATCAGTTACTTTTCATGACGAAGCAACACATTCATTTGTTCATATAAAATCTTATCTTGTTGGTACAGGAAAATTATTCGCTGAGAGATGCTTAAGTGTATTACAACAAACCGATGAAATGTCACGTGATTATCCATCAAATTTGCAATCATTTGAATATCAACTTCTTATTGATTGTTTATCATTATTATCTGAATGTGCACATCAATGTCATTTAGATCAATTAGCTGCAAGATATGCAATGGAAGCATTGAAAATTTTATCTACGATTGGTGAAGATAATATTTCAGAAAGAAAAGTAGCTAGTGGGTAAGATACAAAATCATAAATTTAATATTCAAAACATTTTGTTTTCTTTTTCCTTTTTTTTTATTCTATTAATTAGATCAGCAAAACGTAAACCATCGTATCCACGTTTAAGTGCTGTAAGTCGATATCCACGAAAAAAATTAAATGCATTAAATATTCTTTTTAATACACGTTATTCACATAATTTAAATGTTTATACATGGTTAAAACAACGTGCTTATCTTTGTCATATTATGTTACAACAAATAAATACATTAGGAAAAGTCAAAGGCATTGACGATCATATACGTGAAGAATTTGCTAATGTTAATGTTTATATTGAACATGGATTAAATGAATCTGAAGAATATCAATGTGAATCAATGTATGCAACATTTTTACTTTATAAATCATTATACAATTTAAGTGAATTAGTAAATATAAATGATAATATTCAAGAATTAAATACAGCATTACAATTATTTCAATCAGTTTTAATTGTTAAACAAAATAATGTTATATCAATTGATATTTTATATAAAAAATTATTAACGCAAATATTACTTTGGGAACATCTATGTGTTCAAGATTTAGATGGAACTGCTTTAAAATTAATTGAAGAAAAAGAAAATGATAAATTACAATCGTCTATACTAGATTTTGTACGTATTCAAAAGATATCTTTCACATGAGAATTACAATAGATCAGTAGCACTATCCTTTGTCTATTACTTAAGTATAAATATGAAGAAGAATACATCTGTCTTTCGACTACTTTGCAGTATGTGGCACTGTTTAACGGCAAACTCAGTAGCCCAATGTGTTCCCTACAAGTAGTGCAAACTGTAGCTCTGTCCAGATGGCAAGCCTGACGCAGAGTTCTTGCGTTTCCCATTTACAATAACTGGCTATATATTAGCTATAGGAACAAGTGTATGTCATAATATAGTCAACATGCTATCGGATGGATGATCCGAGACAAATAGTAGTTACTGACTTGTCCAGAATTATTCCATAGATGACAGGTTTGATCATAGCACCTTGTGCAAACGTATTGAACAATGCAGTCACTCTGCTATAACGATTCGTAGAAATGAGAATATGATAAATGACACATGTTTAAATTTACGTTCTTTCTTACCATACATATAACTAATTTCTGATATTTTTATGTAGCATAAGTCCAGTTTATGACCATTTCTTATTGAAAATATTCTCTCATGAAACCTGCAGACAAGAAAGTTCAACCGTAAAGAACATTTCTTTAAAAATTTAAGCTTGACCAAACGAAGGATTATTAAGCTATTCATCTAAAAAGAAAGCAGTAGCTGTTTGTTCTTTATATTGATGATCAAAATTCTTTCAATGATTGCGATACTTTAATCAGCTAAATAATGTAAATAGTTTGAAATATATAATTGATTGACTTGCGAATTTCTTCTGTCTGAAAAAGATTAAAGTCTATACAAAAGTTCATCATTTTCAGAACTTTGATCGTCGATGTAAACTGAAACTTTATTTATTTCCATACGTCTGATCAGTAACAATCGATCAACTTTCCAATTCAAATGATTGATTAATGATTTTTATTTAACTTATATTTTTAGTTTGTTCAAATGCGTGAACGTATTCAAATGACAAGTTCTAACCATAATCATGATTGGTTTTCTATGCCAATTACACCACTTAATAATCTATATTCATCTTTACTTCTTCCACTTGTATTTGCTAAATTACGTACGGCAACAATAATTATTGATTATGCATATCGTTCATTTAATGAAAGTCCAACAATGAATGATTTATTTGAAAATGCCCAAATACTTTTTCGTCAATGTTTAACACTTAATCAATTAATAGTCGAACGTTATGTTAATATTGATTATGAATGTCTTTTACATTTAGCTCGTATAAATCGTTTACAAAAACGTACTACATTAACAACAACAGCAGCATCAATAATGCCATTAAAAACAATTGTACAACAATTATTAGATGCTATACGTCTTTGTTATTTAAGTACAAATGATAGTCAATTTATTCAAACATGTTATTTTGAATTAGCTATTGTTTTACTTGAATATACACAAATATCAAGTGTAAAAGGAAGAAAATCATCAGCAAAATCATTACCAGTCATTGAGTCAAGTGAACAACCATCAACACCATCAACAACTGATCGACCATCAATATTAAAACAACGACAAACAAATGTACGTTCAAGTATGGGTGTTGTTAGTGATAGTGCACGACGTCAACAACAACAACAATTAAAACAAGCAGCAGCTGTTGCTATACGTGCAGCAACACAATTAGCACTTAGTCAAAAAAAACGGTATTTAAGATGACTTCTGTTTTTCTTTTTCTCGTTACTTTAACTTCGAAAAATCAAGGACATTTTTTCTTAAAAAGATACGGAATATCCCATGGAAGAGACAGTTGGTCTTAATAGGCATGATTGTATCAATTTTCTTAATTTATGGTGAAAACTTTTTTTCTTACAAACAATTCTATGTATTTTATGTATATCACATTAAGAACCAATTGAATGAAAGATGTGAATTTTTTAAAACACTTCTATGCTCCCCATTTCATAATAATACTGCACTGTGTGCCCAACTAAGTGTCACGAGATCAATTTTATGGAAGGCAAAAGGATCATTTCATGATTTTGCTAGTGATCTCAGCGCATTGACGAAGTGGTCACTTAATACTCTCCGAAAAGTTGAACTAAGATTATTGCGAAATGTTCAGAATCATAGTGAAATCAGTAACTTTGCCATAGCCAGAGCGAAACTTTTGAAGATCGAGCGAACGTGTGATCGTCCTGTGATCCTACTTCGTGACAGTACTTTGAAGGACTCAAAATAGCCAAGAATTCGCTCACATAATACTTCAAAAAATTCTTTTATTATTCATGAGTTGATAGAATATTTTATGTTGTTATGACTGACGAGGGAACCGTTCCAAGTGATTCACGCCGATTTTGCTTATATTTTGCCCATATGTAGGGGTCAGTATGCTAAGAAAAGTCCTAGGCGGATTGGGGGCCGGGGTCCCGCGTTCGAANCAAAATTTCAAGACATAATTTCGTCATTTGAATTTTTTGTAAATACCTTGTCATAGGCCGAAAAATCAGTAAAATGGCCATAACCCTCGAAAGAAGCAACATGGGCCTAAATCCTCTTGGGCTTTTTCTTAGCATACTGACCCCTACATATGGGCAAAATATAAGCAAAATCGGCGTGAATCACTTGAAACGGTTCCCTCGTGAGTGTTCCTTTCAAAAGACATTTTCTTAATGATATCGCAATAAACCAGTAGATCATAAAAATAATAACTGAACAATTTCATCAGATAGTTTAACATTGTGCTCAGCTATACCACTCAAAAAAAAAGAAAGTTTTTAGAATAAAAAGTGAATTTTAAAAACTCTGTTGTACCGACTAAAGAATTTGGTTTTTTCCTTTATGATTCATAAGATCATTTTATTCTGGAAATATACTAATTTTTGCATATAAAATTTTATCAAATCTATAAAAGCAATTACTGCAATGTTCGTTGAAAGGGGCATCTAACTTTTAAGAGTTAGTTTTAATCAATTTCTATATTTTAGAGTACAATTACCTGGTCTAGCTGAGGAATTTTCTGATACTAATGAATTACATTGGCCACTATATATAGCAGGTGATATAATTGGTTATTTTGTATTTCCGGAACGTCGACGTGTTTATAGAAGTTAGTTAAATGATTTTCTTTGTAAATTTGTATGTTTTTTTCATATTTATGACTCAGGTGAAGCTGAACGAGAAATTCTTACATTAGCTCCACATTTTGAAACAAAAAGTTTACCAGAAACATTTGATTCAAAACTTGATCGTCTAAATATAGCTGCAACACAAGATATAACATGGTTAAATCTTTTAAGTAAGATATTTATTATTTAATATATATTTCATTTGCTCTTATTTTTTTTCTTGTTTTTAAATTTTTTTTAGATTATCAAAATGCTGTTGCTAAACGTATTGATAATCGTCAATTACTTTCACTTGATTGTGATGCTGTTGGTCGTTCAAATCTTTTCTTTTTACATGTTTTTCCCCGTTTTATTGGTGTTACACAAACATTACAATCCTTATCACATTATTCATCACAATGTGTTGCTATATATCCATCAGAAATTTATACTCAACATGTTTTACAAATAACATCATTATCAACAGATAAATTACCACAACGAGCATCAATATCATCAGCACGTACATTACGTAGTGCACAAACAAGTGCAAGTGGAATGAATTTAATTAATGATGATGATCTTGGGCAATGTCCAAATATTAATTTAAATATGATTAAACGAGAATTACCAGATTATCAACCAACAGCTAGTTTTAGTTTAGCATGGTATTCTTCGAATACATTACGAATAAATACAACAAAAATACAAAATCAACAATTATCACCTATATATGGTTTTTATACAACAGCTAAAGATGATGTTATTAATGTGGTTTCAATATCATTAGATCAACTACTTAATATATATAAAAAGTATGTATTTGTTAAACATGCATGTCTATAATTATTCCGAGTTACGTTTTTTCTTCGGGTTATAAAATAGTCTTTTGTAAATAACTATCTAAAAGAAGTTTTGAAGCATATATAATTTAAATTTGCATTCCTCACAGACCATAACAGACCTTACCATGGAAATGTCATAAATCATGATAGATGGAATTGACAAACTATCATAGACACCTTATCAATGACTTATCACAGACGTAACAAACATCTTTGGCAGCATCTCTTTTTCATTAAAAACCGTGACAGACATAACCATAGGAACATCACAGACTGTGACAAACATTATTGATATACGATCAAAGATTTTGTATCAATAACATCTCATTATAATACATGAACTATTTCTTTATTGCATTTCTCAGGATTTAAATAAAAGACATGTGTCCTAAAATAGATAGAATAAAATACTCTTCCTGCGGTCAGTAATAACAGCTACATCGCGTTCCACATTTTAATCCCATAGGAATTGCCCTAATAGCTTTGATATAGGTAATTAAATTCTAGCTATTAGGTTTAAACATAGGTGTTTTCTATTTACATATTTTATTTTTTAAGAGATTAAACTCTACTTTTATATATAAAGACATTTGATATTGTTGAATTAATTCATAAAACTTTGTACATAATAAATTTGTAAAGTTCCATAGTATGTTTTCATGACGTTCAAGATTTTTCAATGTCTATGAGTGTTTTTAAACAGCTTTTTGAAAGTTATCTTAATTATTTAGATATTTGCCTATTGCTCAAGTTGCCGAAACTGATCCAAAACAAATTAATCAAGTAACAATATCATGTAATTATATCATGAATTTTTATAAATTTTTTTCTTCTTCTAGAGTCAAATACATTCGATTTTACAAGAATTATTTAATCTTTTAACTGGAGAAGTAACAGTGAAAGCAACTAATGATGATGAAACTCTACCAAAAGTATGTTTTAATTTATATATGTTCAGTCATGTGACCATATTTAAACTCCTTCGATTATAGATAATACCTCGTTTAACTGATTCAAAAGCATATGTTGAACTTGAATGTTTTCTTAATGCAAAATTTGGAGCACAAACAAGTAATACAAATCTTCGTGATTGGTTTATTAATACATTAAAACAATCTTCAAATACACTTTTGTCAACTCAGGATTAAATTATAATAAATATATATCTTTTTATTTTAAATTAAATCGATTTTTGAATGATGTTTACAGAATAATCATTCAGTGTTGAATATGTAAGGATTGAATGATAAATATTAAAATGAATGAATGTTAAAAAATAAATCTTTGAAATTGTTTCGACTGAAATGTTCTATTGTAAAAATTTAATTTGTTTTCTAAAGCTTAAAGAAAGAGATAACTACTGGTCGATGATCACTACGTATCATCTCATATATCTCTGAATATTTTCGAATTTGAAGATCTTCTTCACGTTCTGAAACTGGAGTCCTACGAGACAGTTCCGAAATCCCGATGAATCCCGTTTGTCTCGTCCGTGGAGCATTCTAGATCGAGACATTTTGAAAATATGAAGGAACGGGACAAACGAGATTCAGTACTCGAAAAAAACGTTTGTCATGTAGGATTCGATTTGAAACTAGAATACAATCTGTAGCAACTTGAACCATGATTCCTATATAGCAATAATACTTGCACGAGAAAACATAAATCTTTTCGTTTACTCCTTAATTTTGTTTGTTTGATATTTACCACTATGGATGATATATTTGCATGTCAGTGAAAATGTAATATGAGTTTCGATAAATATATTTAAATATCGTACGATATTTGATGAATAACATTTTGACGCATTCGTATAACCTAAGAAAATTAAAATGGATTCATTGATAATGATGATGAATGAATACTATTTCATCATTATCTATAGAATGATTGTATGATACTGTCTCTCGATAGTTTGAAGAAGAATCTGAATCTGGATCTTCTTTTGTTACCATCTACATCTCTCCAAATCAACTTATCAGGCTCATCGTCGGATGAACATTCTCTTATGCTTTATTTGTCTTTTTTTTTACGTATTAATCTCGCTTTTGTCTTATTAAAAACATCACTTGCTCATATTCGAATACATCTTGAGTGTAAGCTATGGTATATATATGTATAATCTAACAATATTAGTTTCAGTTCTCACATGTATTTTATATTAATGCTGTTTCGTGACAGCTGGCAAAAGGCAACTCTACTTTTGCTAACACATCTTTCTGGATTTTCGTGAATGTGACACCGAGTTTTCTCGCCGTTGGCAAATGTCCTATTGGCGAAACTCCGGTCACCCGAAAATTTATGCATCGACAAGACATCTTTCTTCGATTGAACTTAAGGATAATTGAATAAGATACTGATACGAATAGGGCTCCTAATAGTACGAACTGACAGGTTTAATGATGAAGGAAAAATAACTGAGTAATCAACTTTATTAAAGCTCTTTCTAAATTTTTTTCTTGAAAGTATAACTAAAATGTTTCACGTTTGTTTCGTTTGTCTTTCATTTGTATTAGTAATCTTTAAATTTATATTCCTGTCAATCTATTGGTAAAAAGTTGCTTAATTTTCACTTAAGCAATTTCATTATATTGTTGTTAATTACCTATCTGTTTTATTTATCTATATATTATTACTTTTATTTATTTGACACTCTTTATTACATTACATAAATCCATATTATAACTTATATTTCACAGGATATTCTCATTTATATATATATATATATTTATTAATAAATACAAAATTACATATTATAATCAGCTAATTCAGTATCATAATCTTTCTCTGGCACTATAACCCATGATTCATCTTCTTGTTTGTCAATCACTTGGTTAGAATCCAATCTATTGTATTGTATTGTTTCAAATTTTAAATCACATGCTGTAATATATCGATGCCATTTATCTTCATCATGATATAAAACCCATTTTTTATTAACAACAGCAAACAATTGAGGCCCTTGAGAGCTGATTGTTTTATAGTATGTTGCACCCGGATAACCTGGTCCACTGCGGCCAAACTCTTGCTGAAGTTCAGGCCATGATTTTTCGACACCTTTGGCTTGTATTGGTAAATTATCTCGTCGGCTAATATAGTAAAACTCACATGTATTCATCATGTGTAAAAAGAAATAAATAAGACACACGATAAATAAAGTACGTGTCAATGACTAACCTTCGTTGACAAGCTTTATCGGTTAGCAAAGACAAAAATATCACTTCTTTCTCGTTCTTTTTCCTTCTTTTCATGGCGCACCTCTGATTTTTATGACAAGAAAAAAATGTAATTCAATTGCGTCGTTCTTTTTTTTAGTGTTTAGCATCAAATTAGGAACACGCTTTCAATAAATAAAATGAAGTTTATATTCTAGCACGTCCAAATTATTTTATACGTATGACTAGAATTTAGCGTATAAAATAAGTAAAATTGCACTCGTATTTTGTAAATCCGATTAGTCTTAAAATGAAATCGGATTAACAAGATCGAATGTGATGAGTTTATTTATAGAATATTAAATTAAACTTTGTCTGACACCGTTCAGAGAATCCAACAATCCTCGTCCTCATTATAGATACTGTAATTTTCTCTATTTTTCAGTTTTCATTCAGAAAATGGTAATTCCTGGCTACTCTCTATTCGACAGAATACTGATCAGAAAAGATTTGATTTTCTACGATTTTGTATGAAATTGAGAATACGTGTATTCGCATGTGTGTCTATTGCTGGAAACTAAATGCATATGATCGTAATTAGCAGAAGATACCATATATGTTAAATGTGTTTCATAGCATGAAAAGTATTGCATCATCCAGACACAACACTTATAGTCTTATCTTTATATTACCAAAATTTCATCAATACTTCAGAAGAATAGAAAATTTTCAAGTCTTTCTATACTTTTGCATATTTAACATTGTTTTCTTGTTTTTAATGACAAAAGTTAATTAACAAGGCAAATGATAAGAGAACTAAGTAGATCACATTAAGTCTATTTATTTATATTATTATATTTGAAATGTTCTGGCAGATATGTGAATTCAAATTGTGTTTGCTTATCGCAGTAATGCTCATTTGAAACTTTAGAGAAAGTCTATGGATACTGTCAAATCTTATTAAAAAAATATGAATANCTCGGCGGTACTGGAAAAAAAGGGTCTTTTTATATAACAGCGTTACGTGATAATAAAACCTTTCTAGACGTTCGAGACTTCAGCCGAAAAAGGTTGTTCTTATAGCATAAATAGAGTTTGATAAGCTGTGTCGAATGGCGTTTGAATGAACTTTCTAGCTGTTAAACCTTCCGAGTTAATTGAAGAACAGTGTGTCAAAAACGTAACAACATTACGCTTGGACAAGCCGTAATACGAACAAATCGTGCTTTGAAGGATCATTTTAAAATTCACTAAAGAAATGTAACTTATTGCCATCAAAACAAACATGTAGAATGGCTGGCTCATCGGTAATTTTCAGTTCTCCATTTAGACAATAACAAGAAAAATATCAAAGGCAAATTTTAGTAATAATATTAGATTGATACACATAGAACAAACTTTTAGAATTAGTTAGTTCAAACATTTGAATTCGTTTCCAGTAATTCAACTGCATAATTGAAATTTTTAAGCATCGATTGATTAACTTCTATGTAAAAATCGATGTTCCATACTCGAAATTCGAGCTTTCCTAAGTATTGACTTTGACACTTACTAAGTCCAAAAATTTGCTTTATGTATATCAATGTGGTATTATTATTTAAGGTCGTTTGGATCCCAAATGATACTTCAAAGCAATATTTGTTTAAGTCATTGGTATGAAAAGAAAAACAGACATTTTCATAGATCTCTATCACCAACAAAAATAAAACTAGCGTATTCATTCAATTTAAAATGAAGATATTTCAATTTTTTCTATCGTCTTGTTATTGATGCTTCATTCTATCAATGTATTGTTGTCCTTGTTATTGAAATGTAATTAAATCATTTTTCAGTGAAGGTCAGGATTACAAATAATGAACTGAATAACTTTATTCGAAAGGTAAGAAAACTCGTAGCTACGTCAGGATATTCTATTAATAATCGATAAACTGATTAAAAACAAAAGGATAATGAAACAAAGCGTCTTTGTACATATCAAATCTAGACCATAATCCAATATTGTTATGTATTTGACTGGATAAAGCTACGGTATAACAGAAATATAATTCATTGAGGGCATAAGAGATTATTTAATGACATTTTATAAATACACTTTTGTACAAAAACAATTTTCTTTCTTTCTCTTTTTCGTGCACACTAATATTTACAAAAACTCAATTATTGATGAATAATAGGTTATCGCTGTTCTGTTTCTATATCATAAATAATCACTTTGTTTTTTTCGATAAAACATTGTGTACGACTTTGAATTTTCGCTTTTGTATTCTTAAGATTATGATCCATTACTAAGACAAACAGTGATGAATAGAGCTACAAAGTTATTGTTATAATTCAATAATTTACAAGAATCATGTTTTTAATTCGTTTGCTATATATATATCATCTTTACATCATGTTCTAAGAATATGTTGAGAATTAAATAAATTTGATCTTATAAAGATTAATTTGCTTAGAAAAATTAAATAAAATATGAAACTGTATTGTCTACATATTTTTTAAAGAATCCTTATACTAATTTAAAGCATTATACACGCTAAATTTTTCTGTTCGCACATTCATAATTAATCGACGGTAACAAACATAAAATTTCTTCGTGCTATTTATTTTGCTATTCATTGTTTTTGATTATTCACAAGCGGCTGCACTTACATTACAATGAAACACATTCATTGATAAAACTAATTCCTAAAGCAACTGATTGCAATAAATTAGTAAAAAAATACAAAACAAAGAATTCTGACAAAACTCAAAAGATTACCGCAAATTAAACAGTTTAAAATTTTTAAAGAATATAATAATGAATTTATTGAATTCAGTAAAAAATTCTCAGTCAGCAATTGCTGAATTTTTGTACAGAATTGTTCAAATATTGATCTTATTCAAAAACTTGTTTACAATAAGAAATATTAAAGCCTATTATTCATCTAAGATTTTAGTATATACTTCCGAAAGAAATCCGTTAAAATTCTTCAAAATGATCAATTAGATTCAGTAAATTAACTTATTTATTCTATTTTAAATTCAATCTAATAATAATAATAATAAAAATAATACGACAAATAGTAAAAAGTAATCTGACTAAGGATGATAAGCTTCAGCTATTCGTTCTAATTCCATCAATTGCTGTTCAAGTAGTCCAATATCTTTATCAATGGATTTTAATGTTGCATTTTTTGATATCCATGTTTGTATAAGATCAGCTACAGATATAATAACTGATATACCAAGAATTTTTCCACTTAATGTACCAGCTGTTTTAGCACCCGTTGCAAAAGCACCAGCTAATGATGGTAATTGTGTAACTAATTCAGCCCATGTACCTAATGTTGAAGCAGCTTGAATAGCTTCAGATAATTGTAAAAAATTGACTCCAGCTTTAGATACCGAATAACCAAGTGAATAAACAGTTACAAGCCATGCTGTAATATCTTTTATATTTGTTTCACATACTTTCATTGCTACTGCATCTTCTTTTATCATATTCATATAATTTTTTCGAAGCCGTTTTTCAATGAAACCTTCTGTAATAGTAGTTCCTATAAATCAAAAAAGTTAAAAGATTTACTATGAAGAAAATAAATCAAATGATAAACATACCAAGACTTGTTGCAGTACCAGCAAGTAATACTGGAACACCAATAGGTGGAAAAACAAAACATAAAAGTCCACCAATAATCGATGCTGAATTACCAACTGTATTGGAAATTTTACAATTCATAACATGTTTAGCCATACGAACTCGAAGATCTTTTAATCCTTCTATTGTTATAGCACGTTTTTCAAGAAATTCTTTTAATGGTTCTATCGATGGTGGTTCAATAACTGCAGGTGCATCAGGGCTTTGCTCATCAATCATTGCTTTTAATTCGACAAGTGATGGATATGTTGAAAATTTAGCCGATGTTTCATTTAGTAGTTTTTCTTCCTCTTGAGCGTATGTTGTATCTTCGTTTATAAGTGAATAAATTTCATTTGATGTAACTACAGGAGTTACATTAGAATTGTTTTTTTCAACAGATTTTGATGGTAATGGCATAAGACCAGCACCCACCAATGCTTCCATTGCTGAAATCGTCGTTTTTAATATATATATGTCTAAGAAAAAGATTCTTTTATTTTATTTTGTTATAGTTACAAGTTTCTGTACTCACTTTTTTTGTAAGTATGTTGTTTTTATCTTTGTGCTCTTTTGCTTTCTTTTTATATGGAATATAGGAACCGAATAGTGTAATTTATTAGTAAACTTTCTATATATTTATGATGTTTTATTTATTTCTTTTCATAAAAGTTTCATATTTCTCTGTCAGGCATTACAGTGACGCATTAGTCATCATGAATATAAAACCCACGCATTCGTTAACAACAACCTTGTTCTTTATATGTGGGGGTCGTTCTTTATTGTTCTTAGCCGTTTGTTACTCAAGAAAGTAAGGAAAGGGAACAATATTTCTTCTACTATGGCCTTTCTATTTTCATGGCGATGACGCATCCAAATGTGAGTCACAGAACAAAGAGCGAATGAATGAATCATGTCTCATTTGGCCATAGAGAGAAAAAAAAATTGAAGTTGTCAATAATCAAACTACTTTATTCAAAAATTACTTTTATCAATAAAGTTTATGTATAGATGATTCAACTCATGAAAGACCAAATATTTAATCAATAAAGCTTGAATAAATAATAAATGGAAAGCTTTAAATAAATTTCTGTTTGGACAAATTATAAAAACTAATGCTAATAAAAATCTATCTGTAGAATAATATCCATTCGAGACATAAATATTATTACGATTCATCTTAATATTTAGTTGGATTCATTTTTTTTTAATCATTGAAAATATCTGATGTTTCATAAATATAATTGTTTTTTTGTTCAAAACTATTTCATATATAATATTTTTTATTTTTTTTTACTTGAAAAAATATGTACTGATGTTTTTAAAACTTTTTCTTCTAACAAGCATATTACAAGACAGTTTTATATTACATATACTTCAAATAGATGTAAATTTCGTTCTCATATATCATCATTAGTTTCGTTTAGTAATTTTCTTTTTGTACTATGGTACCTATTAATAGGTTTCTATCAATTCGCCCACAAACATCTTATTCTTTATAGGATAATTATATTCATTTGAACTTAAATTAATATATCCTATGACACTATTTTGGATGATTATATTTTTAAAGCAATTAATTTTATATGCAATCGATCTAATATTCATTATAAATAGAAGTTTATCGATGGTTTATTACGAGTAATAATTTCTTTAATTACCAGAGATGGAATCGGTTCGTTTCTTTTTCGAACGCAAACGACCTATATTTTAAAAAATATTCGAAATCTTTGTTTATTAGTGAAACGAGATAAAAGTCATTTATTGAAAAATTTTATTAATAGAAATTAAAAAAAGATATTTCCTTACTTACAAAAACTTGATAATCAATTAATATCGATATAATTTATCTAATTAAGTATTTCATTTATACTTTATAATAGAGAGATGTCGAATTTAATATTATATAAAAATTTAATAAAATCAAATATTTATTTAACATGAACAAATTGTTATGTTTTTCAAAGCATGTTTAATGATTTCGAAAAGAAATTATTCGAATATTTTCGTTTAAATAAAAAAAAAACTAAACGACATTTTGAAATCATCGATAAATTGGTGATGGACTTCGAATGAGAACACTGAACTAGCCGCCAAGTTCTTTCGAACAATTTTTCGATTTTTTTTTAAGCAGAAAATGCTAAGGAGAAGAGCCAAGTCGAGTTGTAGTTAATTTGACTTGAAAACACGTTTGGTGACTATGATCGCTCCCATTCTGAGAAATTCTAGCTTCGTTACGAAAATATATAATTACATTTTAAAAAATGATTTTAAACTTTCTTTTTTAGCTAATTATAGAAAAATTCATTGTTTAGAATATTTCGTTTTATATAATAACTTACATTTTTAATTAAATGTAGCTATTTTTAGTTAATTAAATTTTGTTTACGTATAGAAATTTTTTTGTTTAGATTATATTAAAATAAATCTATTTTCTGTTATTAGATTTTGCATGTACAATTTTTGTCCATGTAATTAATTCTGAAAATCGAAGACAACATCTTTTTGGTCATATTCGATTCCACATCATAGTTAACTACATGTCAGTTGTTATTTTCTTTTTTCTAGGCAGTCATCATTATTCAAGGTTAACGACACAGAGTATACACTGAAAGATAAACTTCAAAGGCAACAAACCATCACAATCATTCAATGTAATGTCTAAACACCTGCTGTAATCGATTTACATGTTTCAAATGATTAGTTTGCATTGAATCAGGCGTAACCCACCTGCATACCTGTACGAATAATGATTCAGATTCATTGAGAAATCATGATTCGCTGATTTTTTTTTCATTTGAAAAATGATGACTATTTATTTTTTTAATGAAAAACAACAGAAAGCAAAATAGGCTAGAAGAGTCATATATTACGTATATGAATCTCTCTACTAACCTGTCGTTGCTTTTCTCTCTATACACCGACATATTGTCTTCATTGATTGCTGACAAACATCACGCGTGTTTTTAACGAGAACGAATAAAATATCATGTTGAAAAAAAGAAGTACGAGAGAAATAGAAAGAAAAGAAAAACAGAGTAGGAGTAAAGATTTAAGTGTATATAAAAGCAAAATATCGTTGCATTTTTTAAGATATTAACATTATTAAGAAATAAAATAGATATGTCTTCAACATCTCCAAGAACATCGACTAATAATAGCAATTCTCCATCGACGTACCGTGTCAACTATTCAGAATATGTAGCAGAGTGAGTATCAACACGTCTCTTTTTCTTTTTTTGTTGATTTTTCTCTATTGAAAGCTATAAATTAGATCAATAGGCATAAAAAAATATAATGTTAATCGATATAGAAGGGCACCCTTTTTTTTTTTACATTCGACAAGTAGTTAAAATAGTAGAAAATAAGCCTAGAAGCCTGAATCAACTCCACAAACTTTTTTCTTCATTGTATTCAGTTCATTTTTTTTTGTGTTGCAGTATTACTGGTAGTCCGAAAGGAACACGTAAAATGCCAGCAACAGGTATTGGACATCATATTAATCCATTAAATAATCCTTTTCCAAATCGACCAAATCAACCAACACAACAAACAGGAGGCACGCCACATTATGGTGGTGGTACTGAAAAGTGTGCTCGATGCTCGAAATCTGTTTATTTAGCAGAGAAAAAACTTGGAGCTGGTCGAGTATGTATTTCAATTAATTATTAAATATGTCAGCATAATGATTCATTTGTTTAGGCATTTCATTCAAGTTGCTTTAGTTGTTGTACATGTAAAAGAAAATTAGATGCAGCTACATTATCTGAACATAAAGGTGAAATTTATTGTAAATCATGTTATAAAAAACAATTTGGTCCTCATGGTTTCGCTAGTGGTGTAGCAATGTCTACTGAAAAATCAACAACATATGAGTATCATCCTACACGTCGTTCATCTTATGGTAGTGATCTTGACTCAACAAATACATCATTTCAACAAACACGACAACGAGCTAATTCAAGTGAACATCTGTTTCGGGATGAATATAGTGCTACAAAACAAAATGATGAATTTTCAAGAAAATCTCCACAACGTAATGATGCTATGGTTGATACAAAATATCAAAGACCAAGTAGTCCAACAAGAAGAGAAAAACCTTTTGAATCAAATACAAATAATGATTCTCATCGTTCAACTTATATTGGAGAAAATGATCGAAGTAAATATATACGTGAAAGTGAAAAATTGCCTTATGGTAGTGGAACATCAAAAATTGTCGATATACCTGTTATCTCTAATACTAAACGATCGGATTCAATGGTTGACAAAATTGAAACACCAACAGACCCGACAAGAGATAATCGACGAAGTCGAAGTCCATCAATAACATCGAATGATTCTTATCAACGACAAAGTAGTAGCGAACGAAAAAATAGTCGCGAACGACAAACTGCTTCTGCAGGTAAAATTAATTCTTTAGTTTACTGATTTCTTTTTTATAAATCAAGTCTTCTTCTATCTATAGATGATTATTCTCATTCATACATCAATATGGACAATAATAATAGAAACAATAGAAAACCTTCGAATGATAATACAGTAAATACGATTGTTTCTGACAATCCAGTTACAACGGGAGATTATCATCGTTCATCGTCATCATCATATGAAAGTAAATATAGAAATACTACATCAACTTCAAATTTCAATGATCGACGTTCACCATCACCACAAAATACTAACCGACAATCATCGGCTTTAAGTGATTTTATATCAAAAACAACTATTACTACTGGAAATGTATCTCCATCAACTGGTAAAAAATATTCAGCATTGGATTCTTTAGTTACTAATGCTCGAGAAAAAAATACTCAATATGATGACGATGATTTTGATAATTAAAATCCATTATGAATATTTTTCTTGATCAAAAACAAAAACAAACGAATTAAATTTTTCTTTGTGTTTCTTCTAGTTTTACACTTTCTTTTCATGTGTTTTGTAGTTGCTTGCTTGATTTTTTTTTGTCTTTTTTTTCATTATTTTAACCGGTACGAAGAAAAAAACAGATAAAGAAAAGTATTTATACAATATTTCAATTTAAATATTATTGCATTTGGTTATTGGTTTTTATTCGTTTGTTGTGTAGTTTTTGTTTCGTTTCATTAGCATCAAAACAATACATACAAACACACAGACAGAAACTTACAATCAAAAGAAAACAAAAAGAAACATAAGCGGAAGAAACATACTCAGAAGGGTCTGTTTTTTTTCTATTTATTTCGCTTAGTCCAAACTTTTGTACAGAACAATAATAAGAAGAAGAAAAGAAAATGAGAATTAGAATAATTTTTCTCTTCTAATCGTCTTACTATTTGAATAAAATTTATTATGATGCAGCCGTTGATGATGAATCAGATTGTAGCTGAGAATTAATAACAGGTTGTAATGATGAAGGTGATGATGACGATGAGCAAAGTGTATTTTCTGTATTATTATTATTAGTAGTATTATTATTATTGACATTTTTTTCAATAGTGGTTGTTGTTATATGATGACCTTGTTTAGCTAAGAGTGCTCGTAAAATAGCGCTAAAATCAATAGCATTTGTTGATGATGTTGAAAAATTAATCGATGAATCCGATGAAGAACTCTTCATTTTTTGTTGATGTTCAATAAGTAAACGATTAAGAACTTGAACTGAAGGTAAACAAGTCTTTTGTTGTTGCTCCTGCGGCTGTGGCTGCTGTTCTGTTGGAGTTTGAGTATTTATTATTGATTTTGCATTTGATATCGATGATTTACGTCGAGATACATTATCTGCTGATGAATTATTTGATTCATGCCGTATAAAATATGAATGATCATGATAGACAATAAATGCTGGAGAATTTGGATCAATTGTTATATAAATTGGTACAGACGTAGTTGAATGACGAGCCTAGAAAAATAAGTTTATAAATATGTTTTATTATTAATATTTTTGTTTTGTTATTAAATATAACATACACGTTTCGAACTTGGTATTGGTATATATTCAGCTTCATCCTCATCATCCTCATCACTTAATCCAGCTAATTGTCGATAATTTTTTCTTGGTCTTGTGTTATTATTTTTATCTCGTGTTATTGGTGTTGATGTTGATTCATGTAAACGTCTTTTAAGTGAATTATCACGATGATGATTTATATCATCAATATCATCATCAAATTGTGGTGTTATTGGTTGACATTCAGTCCAACATTCTTTAAAATAATGAAGAAGACGATTAGCTAATCGACCCAAAACTAAATAAAAATAAACGAATTAAAAAAATAAATAAAAAATAGATTAAATTATATTTTCTTACTGCTTCGTTTGCCATTATACTGTTCGCAATTAGCTACCATTAATTCAATATCTCGAATAAATTCAGCTGAATTATTAACATAAACTTTATTTGTTATTTTATGTTGTATTGTCGATAGATCCATTGGTTTCTAAACAAGAATTTAAAAAGAAATGTACTTCATGATTAAGTGAATCTTCGCTAGCTCCTCTTTTCGAATATTAAAATTCAAATTTTTTCGATTTTTTTGGTATAACTTCGAAGGGTTCTCTGTCAAAAGTCATATATATGAGAGTTCTTCGTTGTTAATTAGTACTTTTATTAAATTCAACTGACAAAATTCTCCTAATCATAATGATTATTTTTCATTTCAACTGTACTGAGAGCATGGGTCATATACCTCTAACACGATCAGTCTTCGATTACTTCAGTTGGAGAAAAAAGTCTTAGTGCATAAAGCAAAAGTTGCTTTTCATTTTCTTGCATTAGTTTTAACTCTATCAGACATATTGTGGCTGACAAAGCAGGACGATTTTTAACCTTTACGACCCAGATATATTTTCTAGAAGTAGTTGGAAATTCGAAACCTATGCTAACTTTTTCTCTATTCATTGAGATCTATCTATATTAAATGTTTCAACTATTTTTGATGAAACATTCTTCAGAAATTTCCGATAGGGAGAAAGTCCCCCAAAAATCGGTCTTGAACAAGATATATTCAAATTGTTTGAAATTTTCAGCCCTGTATCATGATGTTCGAGAGTGATATTCAACAAACAAAAATAAAAAATAGTTCATTTGTTCTCTCTAAACTCTCATTCAATAGATCTTTTTTTTCATTTGAAAGTGAATGTCAGACTACCATAACTCTTGTCTATAAATTCTTAATTTTTATGCGAAGAAAAAAAAGATGACAACTTTATTTAATACCTCGAAAGATGGTTTTATATTTAAAGAAGAACTTTTTTATATAATAAAAAAAGAGTTCAATGAAAAAAATGACTTCTAAGCAGACACCGCAACTCTTTCGAACCACAACAAAAAAAGCAATTGGCTACATTGAAACTCTTTCAAGAATTCTAGAATGCACCATTAGAAAAAGGAACAAAAGATTTCTTGCTGTTTTTCTGAAAAAGTATATGACGGAAGTTGTAAGAAAAATTATCATAAATTATAATATTTTTAAACTCTATTCTTACTTCTATAATTGAGAAATAATTAGGTGCTAGTTCTTCAGAAACAGGTTCAAGGAATGGCCAACTGTTCTCATTTGTTCTTAATAAAGTCAATACTAAAAACAAAAAAAGAAAATATCTCGAAATAGAAAATATGAAATAATAATTATCTTGTTTTACCTTTTTGATGTATATCACTGGTATCAATTGGATTACTAGTTTCATCATATAATGTTGATGATGCATTGCTATTTTCTGAAAATTCTGAACCATCAAAAATTCCTGTCAGTGATCCAGCAGCAGCACGACGTCGAATACGATCTGCACGTTCTAAAAAAACAAACGAATTACGATATTTATTAAAAATCAAAACAAAAATTCTTGTTTTTTATTGAACCTTCTCTTCGTTTAACACGTTCACTACGTTCTAAGCGTTCTTTCTCTTTAGCAATAATTTCTTCTTGTCGTCGTTTAAATTCAAGAAATTTTTCGTATCGTGCTTTTTGTTCTTGCGTTATTTCTTCTAATTCAAGACGTTGTTGTCGTTTAGCTTCAAGTCGTGTTGATGAACGTTTTGGCTCATAAGATGTCCAACGACGTTGTCTATCACGTTCTTTACGTGCATATATATCAGGTAATTCAGCATTTAAAGCAATTAAACGTTCTAATAATTTACGATCTTTACTACTTGAATATTTTTTTGAACATAATTTACGAAAATTCTCAATAAATATATTCCATTCATCTAATGTACGACATACACATTCCCATGTTGAAGTTCTAAATAGGAATATTTAAATAAATCAATATGATTTATATTTAGAAAGAAAAAATGGTATGATTAAGAAATTCTTTAATTTAAAATTAAATATTTAATAAAGCAAAGAGTTTTTCTTCTGAGAAAATTTGTTGCATCGAATGATTACTTTTATATCGATATTTCATCTTTAAATCTTATATACTTATTTCATGAGTCTGATAAAAGATAATTAAATCAAAATTAGAAATAGATAATAGATGAAAAACTAATTTGAATCACAATCAAATGTGACCAGTGTTTATCACTATTATGGATATTTTAACAATCTACTCATACTTTGTGTTTCGAATTGATGTTATAGTTGAAGTCAAACTATATTCTTGATGATGAGTAAGCTGCCGATTATTCGACATTCAAACAAAACTTTTTTTTGTGCATTACTAGATAGAGCTCATCGAGTTACGTAGAGAAAATATTGCTTTTGACAAATACAGACAATATTTGCGTCGTGAAACTTGTTAAAAGTCTATGCTAATTGTAATACGCCAAAAGCATCAAATCTAGGTAGTCTTACCATTTATTCAAAATTTGTTTTTGTTGATTTTACTCGTCGTTGAGAAAATCGATTTTTTCAATATGATAGTCAAAAGTACTAAAAATACAAGTTTGTATTCAATGATTCTGACAAGTAGAACTTCAGTTTCGAAAAGAACTGATAATATATTGAGAATCAACATAAAAATATGTACCAATTAGTGTATACTTAATAAATAAAACAAATTTTGACCTTGGAAAAACATAGGTCAGACTGTTCGAAAATAAAAGTAAGGAGATGTAATGTCTGAAATTAGATAAAAATTAGTTTCGAGTATACAATTAGATACAGAATCTTGTATTGATTCTGAATATGATATTCGTTTTTTTTGAAACTGTAATTCTGATGGTCAAAATCGTTGAATACAAACCCGACTTGATGCCATTTTGTTATCATATCGAAAAAATCGATTTTCTCAATAATTAAATCATATTTGTCCTAATTATATGACGAGTAAAATCAACACAAAAAACAATTCGAATGAATAATGATACTACGGAGACTTAATGCTTTCGACGTATAACAATATTTATTGATTTTTGTAATTTTCCTATAAAACGTACATCTTTTAATAGATAACTCGACGAATTCTATGCAATCATGACAAAAAAGAGTTTCACTGAAACTATTAGTTGCCAACACCTTATTATGCAAGAATAAACGCATTCATGTGTCAATAAATAGTAGTTTTATGCTCTTATCGTAGAGCATTTTCATCATAATAAAAAGTAGCCATTCGTTTAAACTCATCACGAACTCACTCGTTGTAAGGATAATATTTGATATTGCATGTAGTTTTACACTGATTATTATCATCTTGCATTACTAACTCTTATCCGATTGCTATGTTTAACACATCGGAAAAAAATTTGTTAAAAAAAAAACAACATGTCGTTTTCCTTATATATTTGACTTAATTAACTAAGATATAATAAAATAAAAATCTTATTTAATTTACGCAGTATTTTTATTTGATGAATCACAATAAAGACGAGTATCACCAAAATACCATAATTTATTTCCCCGTGAATCTTCTCCAAATGG